TTCTTCCCTGTTATCTATAGGGCTGCAACTAACTATTTCATTATTGGTTATATGGTACAATATTTTCTCAAATAATCAATTCATCAAACATAAAATACCAGCATTTTTTTATCAAAATTGCCAAAACCCAAAACCCAAGGTTAAGTATCTAACTGTTTTACGTAGTCCCAAACTCAAAGATATATAGCTTACTTCCTTACTTAAAAAGTACAACCTCCTCACATTTGAGAGGCCATGAGTTTTAGCTGACTGGCAGCACAGAGAAAAGCACACTGAAATGGTCAGACCCTCGAGCAACAAACTTTGACAGCAACAACTGGCAAGAATGGCTGAAGCAACATCAATTAATACCCAGAACAGAAGAATATTTGTTTCGGAAAGGTTTTTAGAAGAGACTGGTTATTTTTCTTCCAATACTGAATGAAACATTACTGAATGGGTTTCTCCCATTTTTCCCTTTAAACTGTGGGTTTTTTCTCCGGAAGTTTTTCCTTGTACGATGTGAGGGTCTAAGGACAGAGGGTGTCGTTTTCTCATACTGATATTCTGCACAAACTGTGCTGTTGTATTTGCTGTATAGTATCTTTACTGTAGGTTATTTTTATTTTTTTTATTACAGCACTTTGGCTCGACCAAAAATCGTTTTAAAAATGTGCTATATAAATAAAACTTGATTTGATTTGATTACATGTATCCTCAATTATGCATATCCTACCAATACACAATGTTTCTATGCAATCAATTTGATCTTTTTGGGTCACATTCACTTCCATAAATTAGTGTAAGAACTCAGTTAGTCATATGCACTTTGATATTAACATGTTCAGATTAATGTTTCACGCATAAACATGCTACTAATCTTCTGCTGCATAGAAAAAAAAGTGAATCAGAAAAATGCCGTCTGTGGCTGTGAGCGTTGGGGCAGGAAAAGGCCACAACAGAACAGTATATCCCGGACATTAATGCTCTGTGTCTCCCACCATAGGGTTTTCTTAATTACATTAACCAAATGCCTTCTGCAGTGTGTGTAATCTCATGGTTAACTGAACACCCCTGTAGCTGCAACACCCCGCCCCCCTTCCTATTCCTCAGTGAAATATTCATGTTGAAAGCCTTCTTCTCTTCCCAACTACTTCTCTTTCCAACATGTTAATGCCTGCAGTTGTCAGCCATGCGAGTATTGTTTGAGATTCATCTTTATTTCCCATAACCTTCAACACATATCAAAAGCATGTACTATTATCTGGGATAAAGTCGTTATAAAAAGGTACTTTTTTAATTAAAGTGAATTAAGCAACATTTAAACGTCAATAATATTATTAGCAGAAAAATACATGTTTGAATGCATGTTCTCTCGTCAATATTGGCTATATTATGTTGGTTTATTTTATGGATGTATCTCACTAGGAAAACATTTTTTGTATTTCTTCATGTCTTCACAACACACTGATTCAAATAGACCAGGCAGGACTCATTTAAATACATTAACTATTCATTAATTGAATAAAGAGGCTAGTTAGCCCCAGGGCCCCTTTATAATCATAAACTGGGGTGTACTGTTTATGCAAAACAGCAAAGTGCCATGTGCTGGCTTATTATGCTACTGATGAATGGCAAAGTACATGTTTCTCCTGCCCACGAAGGAGGATTAGGCACGGCAGTGTCAGCAAGTTGTTTCCAGGGTATAGAGTCTGCTCCTTCACATTACTGCATGTTGAGATGCGTCTCGGTAATGTGATTTGTCTACTCATCTTCATGTAGATACGATCGCCCACCCCCCTTGCAAATTCTTTCTCAAAACATAATGTTGCATCATGAAGTTCACAAAAGCGGGACACCTCCACACTCATTACATTTATGAATACATTAATACACCAACTACAACATACTTGAGCTAGTGTTGCTTACGATTGTGTGTCTTGTTAACAGAATGAATTCAGGTTTCTACCAAAAACTGAGTACGATCAGAAACCAGTGCTTCAGTTTTCCTACATTTAAAATCTCTAAGCCGCAAATATTTGAGATACTTTTCATATAAAAGTTGCATGAGACCAAAAATTATAAAACTACCGGCAGCTCACAATGAATTCAAACAGGAATTGATGGCAGCATTCATGAAATGGAATTAGTTAAATTTGCAAACTAAAAAAACAAAATGGAACTGCTGCAATAAAAAAAAAAAAGGTAAATACTGTGACTTGATAAAAACTGTGGATGCTGGCCTAGATAACAGTTATTTAACTTTTACTGTTATTTATGGCATTTGTTGTATTGGTTTGTCACCTGGACTCCTGTATCTGTTCTCACTTTATCAAAGACCAACATGGAAAGGAGTCTTGGCTGTTATTGTGACATATTTACTGTGCCATGACATTGAACGGGATTAAGTAATTGCATGAGTCTAAAAGAGGTGACTGTAAAAACATAATTGAGGTGAGGAGGGGAGTCGAATAATATATTTTATTTTATTTAAAAAACAACACATACAGTGCCCCTGACAGTGATAGATGGAACTAACAGAGCTAGTTAAGCTTTCTACACTGTGGTCTGATTCTGATAGACTATTGCTGTGATTATCACTACAGCAATGGTCAATGGATCGGATGACATAGCTTCGGCTGTTGTTGTCACAGATTGTGTCTGTAGCCAGGGCTGTGACACATTCGTTTTTTAAAGGGGTGTAACGCTAACTACATGCAGGGGTAGTTTTTGGGTGCAGTGAATTGACATGGTTGAGCGTTACTGAAGCTACTGCATTCTTGAACTCCTGTCCTGTGGTGTGTTCGTAACACGTTAGTCATACAGTGTCTGATAGACAAACAGGGGTTAAAATCTTGTGCGCTTTTTAAAAAAAAAACTTTTTATTTTACTTTTTTATAAACAAACAGCCAGACAGACAGCACAATAGCAGTTGGCAAACAAATTAGGATGACAACAATGTGATTCGAGTCTGACAGGATAAAAAACAAAGACAAAACAAAAAATAAATGAAACAAAACAAAAAAAAGAAATGGACTGCGACAGGACAAAAATCAACAAAAAAAATCAAATCTAAAGGCGCTTTAACAACGTTTTACTTGGATGATAAGATCAGAGTGCAGCTACCAAACCAAAATCCATAGGATCATATACTTATCTACAAATGTAGACATATTCCAAGTAATAACCATATCCACTGCAACAACCACCACAGCCAGGCAGAGCAGAAGTAGTCTGCCTTTTGAAAAGAGTAATGAGCCATAAATGCACAAATGTCACATCATCGCTCCTTTCTGTAGTATCTGCAGCTTGTTTCCCTAAACTGGCAGTATATTATAACTAGACCACAACACTAACTTTCCATGGATGAGGGGGATTTCAAAAATGTTTGTGAAAGAACTCAAAGCTTCATTTGAAATAACGCAAAAGTAGTCCCACATTTTTTTGCTGTGAACTTTGGGGAGGACTGTAAGAACCTCGCCAGCACAATAATGCACTTAAATATGATTCTGTTTTCTTCAAGTTTGTATTTTGTTGGTCGAACGCACTTATTGTAATTCGCTTTGGATAAAAGCGTCAGCTAAATGCAATGTAATGTGATAAGGCACATTTTTACTTCGGACACTCATTTTTAGTGCAATACCCTTCCCCCAGTATCTCACAATATCTATGGTAAACAAAAAGGTGTCTGATCCAGCCACTCTCAATTTTCTAACAAAGAGTTGAGAGTGTTCTAATGAACAAGCTCTGTTGGTACTGGACTTAACCATCACCTACACAATTCAATATTTCGCTCTCACTCTAAGAATCCAAATAATATGAAATATGTATTGATCATAGGATGCTGTACTGTTATATCTGGAATCAGATGTCTACTGTCTGCCAAAATGTAATTGTATGATGCCGTAATGCATAGACATACACGTTAATCACCAAATTACAGTGCTTGATAATGTGCAGAAGAAATAATATAGGTGTGTCTAGTCTCAATGTTTGGTGCCAGTAAAACTCTGCAGAGCTCACATGGGTTTTTAAGGCTAGGTGGCTTGATCCATGTGCAGGCCTAGGTTTTATTATTATGACCCAATTTACAATGGACGAGTAAAAATAGAATACAAATCTTACCAAACAGTAGTAAAACAGAAATATGAAATAAGATGTAGGCTAGTCTTTCAATTTTTCTGATTAGCTCTCCCTTCATATAATCTGCCAACAGTGTCTACAGTACAAAAGTAGAGGTTAGCAACTTCTAAGGAACCAACTAACTGGGCTGCCTATATTTAAAACTTCAAGGATTTAGCAGCTCTAATTCTTATCAAAGAAAACTAATTCAAACACTCTTTGTTAAGGAAGGCTAGATTGTCAGTCACTGAAAGTGGTGCAATGTGCTAAATTCATGTTATTATTGTGGTGTCAAGAATCACAGCTCAGGGCCCCAACCACACAATTACTGAACATGTATACAGGCCTTAGCTGCGGACACCTAAATGATTGTCAGGGTGCTGTTTATTGTTTTGTCCCTTTTCTCAACAATCCGCTTTGTTTTATTACTAAACTACAGCAGAGACAAGACTCTACAGGGGTTTCATATATGTGGGTGATAGTGTATAATTAAAGTAGTGGGCGATTCAAAACGTTTTACACGTAAACATACCTGAATGCTCCAAAGATTTGGAGACAAAAACACCGTCATGGCGGGAGCATGTCGGTAAGAGTGGAAACCATAGTGGAAACACAGCCATGATACTGCAGCTCTGCGGGTTGTAGAGGAGTTTGGATCTCATACTTTACCGCCACACTTGTTACAGGCTGACCTGACTCCACAATGAGTTAAGTTTGAACGTCAGCGTGCAACGTGGCGCCTGAATCCCTCCAGTGTTACTGACATTTCACGGACCAATGGCAGGACTTAATTCAGCCGACGAGGCGGGGGCCTGCCTGAAACGGACACTGTGATTGGCTGTACGTAAGGCGGCAGAAAACCCCCGTTTGGTTGCATCCCTCACTCAGGAAAAGTGGGACAGGAATGACCAAAATCGCTTGAGTGAGTAGGCTACTGTAGGTGTTTTCAGTGGACTTCTGTGCAGGCGTAGGTGCTCTCTGGAAGGTTTGTTAGTGCACAGCTGCAACGTTGGTGCACACCGCTACTCGGGAGAGAAAGAAAGGTTAGTGTGTGTCGCTACAAGCAGTGGAAGTGGCAACAAAGCAGCTTGCTCATTGTACGTTGTAGTGTCACAGGCCTGTTTGGAAACATCTGAGCTCCATCCCTGACTGATGGAAGTCCTCAGCTTCGTGTGTGCTGCGCTTCTGTGCACTGTTTTGGTGCACGGTAAGCCAACATTAAGGAAAGAGAGAGTTATAAATAAGGACCCAGAACTGAGCAGGAAAGCCTATGAAGACAATAGCAGCTTCCAATACGACCATGATGCCTTTCTGGGTAAAGAGGAGGCCAAGACATTTGACCAGCTCAGCCCTGAGGAGAGCAAGGACAAGCTCGGGTAAGGACATCATTACTATGAACATGAGCTGATTTTAATACCAGCCCTGGTGCTTTTGTCACAGGCCCTGTTTGAGCCTTTGTTTTTGTAAATCACGCACAGCCACGCCTCCCTACTGGAGTCAGTTGCGTGTCACTGTTCAGGCTGAGGACATTAATAATTAAGAACCTATTCACAAGTGCCTGAGAAAGATGTGCATGCCAGCAGATACGAGGCTCGATAAAAATGGTGCGTTATTGCGCCACCGGCACTATTCGCACACACTCCGAGAGTTGATTGCTCAGCCGAAATCTTAATTATGCATCGTCATTAAAGAACCATTCGAAGGTGCTGAAGTTTGTGTAAAGTTGTGCAATGTGCAGCAGTACAGTCATTATTTAAAGCTTCTGTCTCTGAATGCATTGCATACTCTTCACGGGCTACGTGTTTTTTTCGTCACTGTCTGAATGACAAGTTGGCACCATGTATCACACGTTGGCTAAACGGAAACAGTTTCCTGTGGTGTTGGGAGTGGGAGGACCCCTGTAACATCACAACGTGGCAACCCAGGGCCAAGAATACAACCATCCAAACTGCATTCTTCACTACATTACGTTTTCCTGCTCCTCCCTTCTAGAGTGGTCTAACCCTATTTAAAGCCACGTCCTTTATACTAAAAATGGTACTACCAAATATTTGTTTTGTCCCCTGTTTGCCTCTAGTAATAGTAGCTCAGTGTGTTGACGTGAAACAGCACAAACACTTGACTTGTGTCAATCCTTCAAATGTGCATATACTGGATGTGAACCATAATGTTTGTGTCGCAGCTTGTCTTTATTGTCTTGTCTTTTACAGTAAAATAGTTGACCGGATCGACAGCAACGTTGATGGCTACATCACCACAGCCGAACTCAAGTCGTGGATAAAGCGTGTACAGAAGCGCTACGTTTATGAAAATGTGGCAAAGGTGTGGACAGACTATGACCTGAACAAAGACAACAAGATTTCATGGGAAGAGTACAAGCAAGCCACATATGGATACTATCTCGGTATGTACGCCATGTCATTATTTGACAAACAGTACAGTATTCAAGTAGCTATTCAAATGTGATCGTAACCTGAGTTTTGTTTCCCTCTTAAGCCAACCCAGAGGAGTTTGACGAATCAACAGACCAGTTCAGCTTCAAGAAGATGCTCCCGCGTGATGAGAGGAGGTTTAGAACAGCTGATCTGAACGGGGACCTGGCAGCAGACAGAGAAGAGTTCACATCCTTTCTGCACCCTGAGGAGTTTGATCACATGAGGGATACTGTGGTTTTGGTAAGTCTTTTTAACCACATGGTAACTAAGTATGATTAGAAAGGGGCGAAATAGTAAGACTAACTGCGTCTACTAAGCTCTGTGTTTGACTTTGAGAATTGCTTGTAGGAGAAAGAAAACTTCCACAAATTAGGTAATTTCTCCATCCACAAAGTTATATTATTTAATCACAGGGACACATTTGAGTTTCTATTCCATTTGTTTTATCTGATTGACCGCTTGGATGAATGTGCTACATTTGGATGAATCCTTAATGAAATTTTAACTGGGCCAGGAAAGGATTGAGTTTGTTTATTTATTTTGAACAGGTCCAGTGGGATGGATCGACTGTCCCATTTAAGGCTCGATCTTTAAATATACATTTGGCTGCATGAAACAGTTGCGTGGCAAATGTTAGCAGTGGAGCACTATGCCACTCTGTTCATAAAAGTTGTACCACCCATTTGACATATTTAATTATTAATCTCTCATCTTTATGACATCATCGAATGTTACCAACTGTACAGCCGGTGGTGTCTTCACTGATTGTGGTGAATCTGGCTGAAGCTTAGCCGGTTTCTCACAACAGTAGACTCCTTTTATAATTTTCACACAGCTATGCAACAATGAGTAATTGATGGTTTGTGTAGTCATATGAGGAAAGAAAAAGGAAGAGACACTTTACAGCTTTAGAAACGGGACATGATTGTTGGCTAGCAGGACACACCACTAATGGAGCTTGTAGTGCAGGTTTAGGCAGGAAAATCAAGTCATCTTACTGAGTCCAAATGTGCACTCAAACACTCATTGACATTACAAAGGAACACTCTGTTTAAAGGGCCTCTATCTACCTGCTGCTTCTGTTGCTGCTCTCTGCTTTCATTGCACTTTATACCTAACCTTTTCAGTTTCCTCCTTCCTTGTATAGCCTTCTCAATGTCCCCTAGGTAGAAGGTACTATCCTCTTATTTTTTATTTTACATTATCCCAGAAATGGCTTTAGTTTGGTGCAACTCCAGAAAACCTAAGCATGTTTCGTCTCCAGGTTGTCATAGAGCCTCCCTCAAAGTTATAGGTCGCCATCTGTCTGCTTTGGTCTGCAGTGTCATAAGGAATAGATTAGATTTTTCCTGCCAAAAAGTCTCAATACTCATGGGAGAGTGGTAGTACATTGTGTAGACATTTTGCACCATCATTAATCCAAAGAAAAGGTATATTTAACTCTTTATTCTTATTCTTTGTTCAACTATAGCATTGATCCTCCTCGTTCTTTTCCAAGTTTCTGAAATGTACCGAAAATCTCTCACACTGTCAGTGCTTACTGCGGGGTATAGTGGTCTATAGGTTTTATATATATATTTAATGAACATATCTCTTCTTGTTTACACGCAACCTTTAACAGGTTAAGTGGGTATATGGGATGGATGGATGGCTGTTCTTGTTTATTATTACTACGCTATTAGACTACAGAAGCTACATGGATATGAATCATTCAGCAGGTTTTAGAGAGGTTATCTCACCTGCAGCTAAAGATGCATACAGTGATTTCAATCTGTGTATGCGTGTGTGTGTTATCCCCAGATGCATTGCAATTAGTGTACATACAAAGCTTTAAGTAACCGTTCAGTCAAATTCACACTGTAAAAATCAGGATGTAAGAGAGGAAAGCATCTACCAGCGCTTTAAAAGCCATTATTTGAAACATTCATAATTGAATGTGAAGGGTTCGGCTGTCATCAGTAGTCCTATGATTGTACTGTAGGCCTGCCAGCCCAGCTTTAAGTTAATCCTTATACCGTCCCTCGTCCAGCCTGGGGTGATATCTCTCTCTTTTATTACTCACAGTGAAAGTCCCACTATCGTTGACCCTTTTTAATGACACCATAAACACATTTTGAATGCAGGAAACCTTGGAGGACATTGACAAGAATGGTGACGGACATGTGGATGAAGATGAGTATATTAGTAAGTTTAAGCAATACATTGAGATGAATTAGGTCAAACAAGCTAAGCTCATCATTTGCTATCCAATGCAATACATAAATGCAGGAAAAATAGAAGCATTAACTGTCGCTTTTAATGTGCGTATTCCAGGTTACTTGTTTCTGAGTTGTTTCTTTTGACCTGATGAAGAATCAAAGCTGTTTTTTTTGCATGTGAAATATGTCTGCCTAAAATTGGATGTATATCAACGTAATTTCCCTTGGTTGTTTCAGCTGACATGTTTGCCCATGAGGACGGGGGACCGGAGCCTGACTGGGTCAAGACAGAGAGGGAACAGTTCTCTGACTTTAGAGACTTGAACAAAGATGGTAAAATGGACATGGAAGAAATCCGCCACTGGATTATGCCCCAAGACTACGACCACGCCCAAGCTGAGGCCAGGCATCTGGTGTACGAGTCTGACCAGGACAAGGTGCGTTCACCTGCATCAACATGCCTAAGAAACCTCTCTTACCATGTTGTGTATATGAGATACAACTTTAAAGAGACAGCTTTCATCATCACATTTACACATGTTGTATTTTGATAATGATGTTGTTGGAATAAGACTTGCTTATCTTGCCATTTCCTCTGTCCTCCCCTGCAGGATGAGATGCTGACCAAAGAGGAGATCCTGGAAAACTGGAACATGTTTGTGGGAAGCCAGGCCACCAACTACGGAGAGGACCTCACCAAGAACCATGACGAGCTCTGAGCTCTCAGGGCAGCTTCTGAGGTGTGGGTGTGAAGAGCGTTGGTGAAAATCTTCGAAGACAGAATTACAGACTCTTTCCCTCCTCCCACCACCCCATCCACCACGCCATCTTTTCCAAATAATACTGGAACAGATGTCAGAGTGTTGGATTGTAAACCAACACTGTAGATACCAAGCAAGAGGGGGCAGGGGTCTCTCCTACCACTAACACTAAGGGTCCATCTCGATTTGGTGCTTCTGTTTCTGACATTCAGGAGCAAAGCCAGATCCAGTGGACTTATTTTCCATCAATGGTGCCTTCCAGCCGCACTGCCGGCTCTGCTGCCTCAGAGATCTGTGTAGAAAGTCTTTAATAAACGCTGTCAAAGCTGAATGCTGAGCTTTAGGTGAATTGTCAGATATAGGAATAGTTTTTGATAGCAACGTTAATGTGAAACAGCGCAGCGCAGATCATTCATTCAGATTTTATTTATTAATGAAATCTATTCTTTGTTTACACATTTCCTGGCCATATGATTTTAATGATTTGTTTGTTTGATTAGTTAAGTGCTTTTAAAACTGTTAAAGACTGATTAACTGATGTTTAACGGCATGGTTTTTGCACGTTTTTGGTTTAAAAGTAGTCTGTGAAATATATTTTCTTCATATATTTAGTTCGACATTTATTTATTGGTATACTTCAGACCAACAGTGCTCCATGTTAGATTTGTATTGACCTTTGCTGATGTTACATTTGAGCTTTATCGTTTTATAGATTTCTTATTTAAATACGCTTTTTTTTTAGTACTTTGTTTATTTGAACACGTAACTCCACAGAACTCCTTGCATGGTCATCTTTTTCAATCAGATTTACCAATTTTATTTCCACTGCATTGGCTTTGTATATAAAAGCATGGTGTTTACAACATCAGAAATTCATCTTCTGTATTTTTTTTATCACAATTTCTGTATTATTATAAATAAATATGTTATGTGACAGTGCATGAACGTATGCAACTTGAAAAGATCAAACTGACCAGAATTTGTCATTTTAGTCAGCACTTGTTGTGCTTTGTTGTCCCTAACCTCAGTTGCATCAATTTTCCACATATCACACAAACACATTCATGTGTCTTCTTTTCCAAACGGCACATGTGTCAAAAATAAAAACAATAAAAGACATTGTGTATTCTGTGTATTCAAAGCATCACCATGTATTATTTCTAATTTCTACTGTGCGTGGATAGAGATCCAACAAACTGCTGAACTGTGATGAGCAGCCTAAAGGGAAAGGGCAATATCTTTTTTTAATCCACGGATGATACTTGCTAAGAGTTAGAAAAGATCAGTACTGCTAGCAGCTCCTCAGCTTAGCTTGGCACAAACACTGGAAAAAAAGCTTTTAATTCTGCTGCATGTGTGGCAAGGTCATATTGACATAAATAGGATATTATATATTATAAAGAGAGCTGTAGATGTACTTTTTATTGAGCCATTTTTCCATTTCCAGTCTTTGTGTAAAGCTTAACTAACCGACAGATATGATTGGTATTGACCTTCTCATATAACTCAGGGCGACAAAAATAAATAAGGTAGCTTCCAAGTATTTGAAAGTATTCCTTCATTCAATTGAATCAGTATGTTATGACGTATCTGTTCTTAGTCTTGACAGATATAGTCAATAGTGTATAAAAGTGAAATACTGGCTTCCTCCTGTCCAGATTAAGCAGTGGCTTACTTTCCTTCTCCTGATGCTAAAACACCTGGATACAGGTGAACACTTCAGAGAGAAATCAGAGTTCAACCACATATCACTTAAAGCACCGTCTGTGCACTAGTTTCTTACAATCTTTTCTTAAGCTCCAGCTAATGCTCCGTCTTTCTCCGTCTTCTCACCAACAAAGGACATATTCCAAAGACACATTTTGTCACGATTTGGTTCCCTTTTTTGTGCTGAGTACATGTGTGCTGCATGTTTCCTAAAATGTCACATGTTCATGCTGTATTTCAGGAGTATAGACCTCTTATATGTTCAAGTCTGCATTTGACTTTGAGGTCATTGAACACCAGGAACAAGCGGATGCTGTTGACACTTCTCATGACTAATAGCAGAGTTCACACACGCACAGCGGAGATGGAGTTATGCTGACTTGCTGTTGCTGCTGGCTGTTGCAGTAAAACTCTCAGATGTAACTGAGAAAGCAACTCTGCCACCCAGCCTGTCCCCTCTGCTTGCTCATGTGGAACATATGGATATATGTGTGCCAGTTAGCAAGACAAGTCAAGCGGGACCAATGCGATAAAGCTCATTAGGAACAAGGGACAGGGCGATGTATGTGTGGGCTGTGGTATTCTGTTGTGAGCTTCTTCAGACACTCTCAGACTAAAGACTGCAAGAAGCCATAAACATCTGAAAATCTTTTAAATATTCAGCTTGTTGGATATTCTGATTTTTATATGAATTTCTTTGACATGTACCAGGTTTAAATAACTTTGTAAGAAGGCGACATGACAATAACAATGATTATTTCATAACAATTTTGCAGAAATAGGTTACCGAATTCTGGCATGGCTCCACTTGTACAGCTTCTTCCAGGAATACAGATTTGTTCTTTTCCTCATTTGTTCATCTAACAAAAAGCTCCAGGTCTGAGGACATTCAAAGTGGAGGTGTTGCCTGTGGTGACATTTTAAGTTTTTAGTTATTTTTTGTCTTTATAATGTCCATTGGATAATTTATTTTTGCTCTATTGCCTTGCTAAAGAGTGTGGGGTCAGTCTTGCATCATGCATTTGAATAATTGGGAGGCCTTAACCACTAAGTAGCTCAATGCACTTCCTCCAACTAGCATATGAGGTTTGTCATGTGTCAGGGTGCATCTTTGTGTCTGGGCCAGTGTAAATGAAGGTTGAGTATAAGTGGTGAGCGGAGATGTAAAAGAACCCAATGTGTGTTTGCCTGAGTAAGATGGGGGCACATGGACTATTTGTGCCTCGCGGCCATGTTTAACAGCCTGCCCCTCCTGTTTATGATAGGTTCCTAATCATTCACACTGAGGGAGTGTGTGTACAGTAATGCCTTTGGACAGTTCTCATATGAGTGTCTGTGTAGATCAACCCCTCTCCACTAATAATAATGAGCCCTCTGGGTGAGAACAGGGTGAAGACAGTGGGAGAGGGTCATAAAGTGTAGAATATTAATGTCTAAGACTATAAGCCCCCCCCATCCAGTATAATTTACACTTAGTCTTGTCCTCCAACAATCTCCTTTTAAAGAGCTTTTTTCATACACTGCCATTTCCATATCAGCAATTAACAGCAGCAATGCCAGAATGACTACTACAATTAAACTGCCTTCATAACAAACTGCAGTGCATCCCCCCACAACTCCCCTGCTCCTCCCGGACTCTTATCATCATGATGCCCTATTTTTCATCGGAATATATATCCGCCTCTTCTTGATCTTTGTCTTTTATCTGTTGTGTTTGTTCTTTGTACCCTGGGGATTTGTAGCCCACTGTGTTGTTTGTAATGATCTTTGGGACATCTGACCCATCCTGTGCTGAGGCTTCCATAACAGGATTTCTGCCCATTATATAATAACAGGCATAATGGCAAAAAAACAAACAATACAATGTCCGTTTGTTATCCAGCTACTTAGACAAAATATTTGATATTTACCAAGCTAAATGGTGACTTTACATGGTTAGATGACAGCTCGGGGGATAGGCTGTCCCTTTGTCTTAGTTGTATCACTAAACTGAATGAGTCAAATGCACAAACTCTTTTTCATGGTAGGTTTGTACAATTTAAGTTAACATTGTATCACAACATCGTTATTATAAAAATGTTATTTTTACAATTAGAGTTATAAACTCTTAGTGTAACATTTAAATTGTAATTTCTTTGTTCATATGACAGTTTTACCAACTTAAAGGGAGGATTCTATATACTGTATAGCTTAAAATGTGCACACGGAAAATACCTTATAGGATGATTCCAGATAGTTCGTAACATTCCTCCAGCACCTAGTCAACATAAAACATTTAAAATACTGTAGCAGTGGTGAGAGAGTTCTGTCAGACATGAATACAACTTTTTTCACATTACGCTGCAATTTGTCTCATTTACCTCTTAAAATGATTTATTCAGAAGAGTGAAGATAAAGGCAAATAAAAGAACAGCGAGAACAGTCTGGTAAATAAAATAGTTGAGTAATTTTACTGTAATGCAGTCTTTAAAACAAGGAAAATTACGGCAATTACGAAATGATATCCAAAATCTAAGATGACATAATAGTCTCATAACACAATATCCCTATAATATAGATATATACTTCCCATATCCTCTCAAATCTTTTTCACACACACAAGAAAACATAATCTTTCTTAAATCTCAAGAAGATCAAAGTTATTGTATTTGAATTTGACTAAATAAGGGCAATAAATAAAGTATTCAAAATAGTTTTGGCTATTTTTAACTAGAATTGTGTTCTGGCAGTGTAAATTTAGACCATCATTAAAATGTATTGAAAATATAATTGAACAGACAAATCATGTAATTTGCTCTTGTTTGTGGTGTAGGGGCTGAGTTTGGTTAACTTTGACCCATGACCTCAGCTTTTCCAAAATGCTGGCGACAGCCCTGATGCTACACAGGCCGTTCCTTCTGTGCTTGTGCAAGTTATGTGATTGTATGTGCGTGTGTCATATGAATGAAGGCTAATTCGGCGCCTCACATGCTTCTACTTCTGGAAAATGAAGCTTGAACGAATCCATCAATCTTTCATGTCATCCCAGAGAAAGTGCTCATCCCTCCCCTCTCCCATCACAAGACTCTACTCCTCCTAGTGGTGATGACACAGAACAAGAAACGATCTCCTCTCTTTTTAACAACTGCACTTCTGCTCGTCTATCATCATGAGTTTTTATGTACCCATCAACGCAGTGTAGATAGGGAATCGGCCATTAATGACTACACAATTAGAGAGGAGGCTTTAAAGAGCGATACATTTCAATTTAGGAAGCATAAACCTAGTGAGTTGGTAACTAATTGTAACTGCCTCTGGAGTAATGGGAGCTCTTTGGACTGAGGTCAGGATGGCTCAAAATCAGTTTCAAACAGCTTTTACACAGCTACTTCTCTGCTTTGGTTGCCCACTCAGTCTGACAGTCTGCTGCGTATCTTACAATGATATATGAAGAAAGAAGCTTTTACAAGTTTTAATTAAAAGATGAGCAAAGCTGCCCAGAGTAGAGTTGATTTTGGAGTTCATGACAGTGAGAGTGGAGAAAACGCTTTCCCAGTGAGACTGATATCTTTGGACAAAACGCCTCTCTCGCTCCATTTGTCAACATTTGTCTCTTTCGTTTCTCTGGTCCTCTCTCCATGTCCCAGCATCTGGATACCTTTAGGATGGAGGGGAGGAGAGGGTAGACGAGGCCTTGTTTCATCCCTCCCGTAACGATGTTCCCCAGGGGGTTTGGGTTGGTTTGTGATCTTGTGTCTCACATGATAGAGACACATCTAATCCTGTTAGGCCTTAATATCTTCCAGCGGAATAGAGGAGACAGCGGGAGGGAGGAAAGAAGAGAAGATGAAAGACCTGATGGTTGAGGAGAGAGAGAATATTTAAAAAGCTCTGCCTCTATTTGCTGGCCCACATATTGGTTTTGGGTTGGAGTATACATCCATGTGTGTGTTTGTGTTTCTGTGTCTGTGTTCCCTCATGGGATCTTCCCGGCTGCTGCCTGCATATCTGACAGACTCCTCTTAAGGTGTTTTCCTCTCGCTGTCTTTTTGTATTTGCTCCATCTCTGCTCCCTGAGTGAGAAAGTTTACCCTCTAGGCCCCATCTGAGCTCCAGGCCCCCAAGGCCTCTGCATTCCCAAAGCTCCTACACACCGGAGCCCCTCAGGCTCCCTGCTTTACCACAGGGAATACCCCCAAGAACCCCTAGGCCCCTCAGACTGTGGAGCAGCAGCTCTGCACAAGAGAGCCAGCCCGAGGGGAGGGGGGGCGCTGTCTGGGAATACAACTAAGTACATGCTTCACTTAACATTTGAACATTCCCCGACAGCGCCTCCTGTTGGTGTAGCATTGTTTTTGCATGCAGGGCTCCCTGTAACCCCCTCTCTGGGGCCTTGACCTTGTTAACAATCCCTCGGGGCTCATAGAGGCCTCTGTGTGCTACATGTGCATTGACCTTTACGGCACCCTGAGGTTAAATAATATATTTTTGGCACAAACAAACACAGCCGGATTCATAGTGATGTTGAATGCACCTGGGACTTCTCAGAATGTCATATTAACAAATAAGACTAAATAAATTAAAAGACTCATTAGTGCAAAGAAAGTGAAGGCGGAAACTTGCATGTATGGAGTCAACTGTTCTTGTTTCATGGCTTTTTAAATGTGACAGTGAGGTTAAATCACACTTGCATTCAAAAAGAAACCTTTTCAGAGGGTTGCATGTGGAGATGGAGGCTGTGAAGCTATAGCAGGCCTGCTGTCCTACAGATGTCTTGGGCTGTGCGTTACCAGGTGTACGTCACCTGAGATTACCCACGCTGACACCCCTTAAAGGCAAACAGCCAGCAGTACAGCTGAGGGGGCATCTGGTGGCGTGTGTGCATGCGAGCTTGTGTGCGTGTATATGTGTGTGTTCATGCATTCAGATTGGCGGTAACGTTTGGAAGAACGAGATTGAGCCCATACATTGTGGTGTTATCAGATATTTCCTTACACTATCTTCAACAACGAACATTTTGAAGGAATGATGACCCCATAGATCAGTCAAGGGTTTAGGTTAGTGTCTCTTTGAATGTGTGAAATAATGATGGCAGTATTAATGGAGGAGATTTAAAGCATGGGTTCTTCACGCTGCACACAGCCTTGGCCGTCTCAGTTAAGAGTGAACTGGAGTGAGTAAAATGTTCAACTCTGCTGCTCTTCTGATCTTCCTCCGCTTCCTGGTGCCCCTGTGGAGATAGAACAAAGAGAAGCACATCTTAATCAAAGTGTATTGGATTAAGAATCAGAAAAAAACAGAACATCACAGAGATACTAGCTCACAGTCATTTAGTGGATTGGAAAACAACCTGATCACCACTTCAAATGAGCAGTCGGTGACCCTTAAACAGGAGAACGGCATTTTAATCTTTCTGTTAGTTTGGCAAATCTCAGGATCTACTGAGGAAATGAGAGCAGCAGTGCAGGAGCAGATGTGAGAGTGTGTGTGTGTGTGTGTGTGTGTGTGTGTGTGTGTGTGTGTGTGTGTGTGTGTGTGTGTGTGTGTGTGTGTATAAGTGTGTTTCTGGTTCTGTGTGAATGAGAGCTGTGGTTTCCATGTGTGAACATGTAGCTTACAGCTAAATATACCATATGCGTGTTTACATTGCTTTTTCAGGTGTGTGACATCATTAGCCCACAGAGCCACGCAACCGTTCTATTCTTCCCACATTGAGTCATATTTTATTTACATACCTGCTGTAGCTGAATCATCTCTTATAGACTTGAAACACAACTTCATCCACATCATGTATATTTCATGGGCCAGGGCATGCTCTGAACGGGCATCCCTCTTTCTCACTTTCGATGATTTTAACATATTTATCGTGGCTATTCAGGGCGAAACTTTAGTGGACATGCACCATACTGTATGAAGACGGAAATGTACAAATTATAAGCATCGGTTCAGTCACACTCCAGGGCTCAGCTCAAGTCCCATCTGCTCGACTGTAAAGGCTAATACTGCCATCATGTGGCTCGATGATGTAAAATACCATTTAGGCTTTATATAGGGACCTGAGTGTGTGTGCTATTGTGTGTGTGTGCATGTTGAGGCCCTGCCTATATGCAGAAAGGGGCAGTCAGTGGGGTACAGCCAGCTGACACGGAGGTATGTGTCTTTTCTAATGAGATTTACTCAACTCCAGATGTTTCTAGTTATGAAGATGTGTGTTAGAGATTAAGGAGGGAGAGATCTGCACCCTGTCAGAGTCACAGTGGGGTGCTGTTTTACTGTCAGTCACCCCCTCATCCCCCGCCACCACTACTCATAGGTGGCCTCTTAACCTGACAACACCAACACCTCTTCTGTCTCTCTCTCTCACACACACACACACACACACACACACACACACACACACACACACACACACACACACACACACACACTCTTGACTCTTGACAACCATGTGAATCGAAGTTTTATAAACTTAAAAACAGAAATTACAAAAAGGAATGCCTATAAAAGTAAGCAAATACATCACATATATACAGAGCAATTTAGTGAGAAATTAAACTGTAAGAATATCAAGATGTTCACATTATTCAAAGCAAAAAATCTCAAATGAATGGACACATTGCCCATTTCGTAATCCAGTTTACAAGGTGACACAATAAAAAAAATCATTAAAAAAAAGCCAGTGCAAGTTTACTAAAATAGTGTATCAACATTTTCCTCATCTCATAAAAAAAATATTCTTCTTGGCTCAGAATAACTGTGGTTGTACCCTCTCAGTCTGAGTTTTTATATCAAATAACCCGAACGAGTGCTAGTTGAGGTGCATCCTGAAGTTCTCGAGGATTACGAGTCTCTTTACGTCGGCTGGCAGAGGGAGGCATCAGCTGGGCTCAACACAGTCTGGCAAGGCACCATAACTGCTGACCAGGCTCCTGCGGCTTTCACCACTAGCTGCCTGGCACAACATATTGTCAGCTTCCTCATCCTCCTCATCCTCCTCCTCTCGCTGCTCAGATGGCAGGCTGCAGCTTGGTCAGGTTCCTCTGGTGCATGCTGTGGTGGCGCACCAGCTCATCAGAACGGGCAAACTTCTTCTCGCAGCTGGACCAGCGGCAGGTAAATGGCTTCTCACCTGACAAGGAGGGGACAAACAAGAAAAAAAACAAGCTAAAGTTACTACAACTATAGAAATGCAAACTTGTGTTATAATGTATTTGAATAGTCTCAGAATGGAGCGGTAGGAAATAAAGGTATACGCACTTGTTTTACCTGTATGAGTCCGAGTGTGCGTCTTAAGATGATCTGACCGTGAAAACTTTCTCTGACACGTCTCGCACTGAAAGGGCTTCACTCCTATACAGGTGTGCAAACAAGTGTTGTATTGACAGAGATAGAAATGAGAAGAAAGCAGAGCAGGGGTCAAAGGTTATAAGATGGAGCAATCAATGTGGAGGTTGTAAGCATTACAAATTGAAACCATTCCGGCCGATTTTACAATCTCAGCATGTTTTATGTATGCATTCATATTATTTATATATCAAATTAGTTAAAGCAACATGGTTTACAATGTTCTTGTTTAATTATATGTTGTCATAGTTTAATATTGATATGAAGCTACAGTATGTGTTGGAAATAAGGTTAAGTTGGTTATAACTGCTTGTTTTATCATTTTTGATCTGAGATAAACAAATATTTAGATTATTTGGATTTGTCATATACATTATCTTGTCTATTTAAAATCCAATGCCTATTTTTGGCCTTCTTCTCAGTGACAGGAACAGATAGAAACATACCAAATCCTACTTATTTATTCATATATTTATTGGCCTTATAGACAAATTTAACTATACTGGGTCCAAAAACGATTGAATCTCCCAGTGGAGTACCAACAGTGGGTTTATTTTGTTATATTGTGGAATGGACAGTTCCCATAGGATCTATAATTTTTTTTAATTCCCAGAAAAGGGAACTGAGTTCATGACGTCAGTGTCCTCAGAGGCAGTCAAGGCCCTGGAGGGATGTCACACCCTAACTCATACAGTAGCTTTACGCCGGTGTACCTGTGTGTCTGCGCTGGTGCCTCTTCAACTGGTCTGAGCGAGAGAATCTGCGGCCGCAGTCTGTGAAGTCACACTGGTAAGGCTTCTCTCCTGCAAAATAAACCATCCATATCCACAGCTTTATCAATTTACTTTTTACACAGCAATACACATTCACACCTGGGCATCATACCAACAACCATATCATTTCTTAAGTTTGTATGAATTTCTCAATTTCATTTAGCAGCAGTTTAAATGAAATCCTCTCACCTGTGTGTTTGCGGCCGTGCATCTGCAGATGTGACAGTTTGAAGTATCTCTTGCTGCAGCCAGGGTAAGCACAAACAAATGGACGCTTTTCACTGGCTTCTGATGACCTCACACTGGGTGGAGCAATGCCAGCTACGCGCCGAACATCCTTTAAGAAAGAGAAGTCAGAAGGCTTAGTAGTCCAGAAGTGCACTTTGTGTATGTATTTACTGTAAGGCTGTGTGTTGTTTTGAGCCTGCATGTGTGTAACTCTGACTGACCTGAAGTCCTCTGAAGACACCATGTGTGTGTATGTGATACTGGGCACTCATGAGCATGGGTGGGGGTGGGGCTGTGGGGTCACTGTCATAGCTGGGTGCATGGGCACTGCTGGACAGAAGCAAAAATAAAACAAATTGAGTAAAACCTAAACAGTTTGAGTGCAAAACTGAGAGTTTTAGCAACAACAAAAAAATGCATCAATTGGTCAGGACGGTGTATCTAGTCCAAATAAAGAAAGTTAAGGGAAACACCTGAAAGTGTTAAAACCTTAAAAATTCCAAAGTCTTGTGGCAATCGTGTCACACACACTTAAAAAAAATCACAATAAAATAGCTATCCTAAACAAGACACACACACACACACACACACACACACACACACACACACACACACACACACACACACACACACACACACACACACACACACACACACACACACACACACACACACACACACACACACACACACACACACACACACACACACACACACACACACACACACACACACACACACACACACACACACACGAATACACTCATCCCCACTTTCTAATTTCCTTAGGCAGTGGGCAAACCACAAACACTGGTCAACAATGACGTATACAGAATTTTATTTAAATAAAAACATAAAAACTCACCTTTTCATCGAAGTTGCCAGGTTGTTCATTTGGTTCCAGGTTACACAATCCAGCTGGGATGCCATTTGGTACAGGTTATCACTGAGGAAAACATACAGCAAATTTATTAGCTTTGGGCAATTTTCGTAAAACATTTTAGGTTTTTGTTGATTGGTGAACAAAATGTTATACTTCAATAATTCAAAATGTTATGGAGGTTAGTTTTGAGGGTGGGACAGATGAAGGGAAAATAACTGAACATTTATTCATTTTTGTCTCTATAAAACTGACAATATTTATGTTACTCTGCATTCTTCCTGTAATTTCTCTTCCCTTGTATGGATAATACTGGGGGAACTTCAAATGGCTCACTTATTAACACATCCTGTCCACCCAGCACACTCCTCACTGGCTTCATTAAAAAACATGGGCTCTGAGCCAATCTTTACCTTGGCAGATCACACTATTGCACACACACACACACACACACACACACACACACACACACACACACACACACACACACACACACACACACACACACACACACACACACACACACACACACACTTGGGGATGCAGTTGTGCACTCTGCGGGGGTGAGTGCCTCCGTGCCGTGTGTGTGTGTGTGTGTGTGTGTGTGTGTGTGTGTGTGTGTGTGTGTGTNCAAAATAGCACAAAATCTCAAAATTGACCAGTGCTTGAAAAACGATGTTTTTGCCTGCCGTGTCTCGCCTTAACTACATTATTCAAAAGTGTACAGTAACTTTGGATAATAACACGGGAATAATAAACGGAGCCTCTCTTTCTTTCTTTCTTTCCCTCCCTCTCTCTCTCTCTCATGCAGCTCGCTGATCCAGTAATGAGTGAACCGACAGTAAAGAATAAACATATTTATAACTAGTAGGGATGGGTATCGTTTGAAATGTATCGATTCCGGTTCATATCGATTCTCCGTTTTCGATTCCAAAATTGTAAAAGAAAGAGGTCAAACGTTTAGATAACAAAAATATCTTTATTCTTTAACTGAATTTTTTACAAATAAAAAATATACATGCAATACAAATGTATTGCACAATAGCTGTGCTTTATTTGAACTGAGCTATACCTGTGGCAAGCTATTAACAGGCATTACACTGTGCCCTGTCTTTATCTTTTTTAGTGCAGTGGAGCCTCACTTTAGAGCGTTTACTGCGATCCATCTTTGGTGTTATGAAGTGACTGAGCTCGTGAACTGTCTACTGGAGGGCGGGGGGAGCCTCGCTGCGGGGCAACTGTGGACCTTTGTCGCCTGTCAGCGCAACTTACATGATGCCGTTTAAAAAAATGAAGGGCGGTTCCGGCCGTCGGCGTACCACTGACGACCGGCCGTTCTGTGATTCTCCAGAACACACAGATGGCATCCGGTGGAATACAGGGTCTACCGCGTTTAGGAACCGTTAAGCAGGACCAAAATTGTGTATTTTGTATGGGTACCCGGCATTTTCTTATCGGTTCTCACCTGGAACCGAGTTTCGGTTCCCAACCCTAATAACTAGTTAAGGTTGTTCCAGAGTTACATAAACTAGCTAAGTGTGTTAGGTCTAACTTGAATTGTGTGTTTTGCTCCGCTCACCGGTCCGTCACAGCGGGCGGAGCTTTGATCATGCAGAGCTGCGTGTCTCTGTCACTCTCTCTCTCTCTCTCTCGTCTGGTTATACTTCGCGTTTATGTCCATATCGATCAGATCTAGCTAGTTCTAGCTAATGATGTGACTGCCTGCGTATCAAAGGATACCTATAAGCGTTGCTTGGCAACGGTTTTGTGGCGGCAAAAGTATAGCGCAGTATTATGCAGCATTAATCATTTGTTTACATGAGGGCTCAAAATGAGGATAACTCTTTCTCCACAGTAAATGTCAGACATTAGAAAGGAAGTGACTGTGCATGTAGCGTATTGACTCTTCTTGTCTGTCACAAAAGTGGCACAACTGATGCGGTATTGCGCTAAAGGGAAATTATATTGACCGGAGAGATTTAGATTTGCCGGTCTTCCGCATATTTTACCGGTCATAGTCCGATAATTACCGGCTAACGGAAACTCTGTTGTATGTGTACAGACTTTTGAAAAAAAGCTAAAACAGTTTTGAGACTCCAAACCTGCTGATCTAAAGTGTGCTTAACCATATCTGCGCTCTTGAATAACATACACTTCAGTGATGAATCGCTTATAAAAACATGTGTTTGAATGTCAAACTGAAAATATAACATTTTTGAATGTGCACTCCAGCCGTATTACAACTGTGCCCTTTGTCTTGCCTGTGAGAAACTGACAGTACACTTAACAAGGTTGAACAGCAAGGATTCATTTGAGGTGAAGTGCTCTTACCGTCAATGACAAAGGCCTCAACGTCATCAGCTCCAATCTGCAGCTCCTGCTGCATGGTGTCGAAGGAGATCTCCTTGAATTCCACAGCCATGCCCATCAATGTCAGCAGGCGCATCTTGGACATGTTTTGCTCGTGAGACAGGCCTGGAGAGCAACACGCAGGGATCATTAAGCACAAACAGTCACAGTCGATTACTCTCCACTCAGGGAGTTTCCCTGTGATAATTGTTTCTGCATTTAGGAGCCTGAAGTCAGGGAATCTACTCATTAACAAAAACACTGCTCCAAATTGTCTGTTTTGAGAGTCCATCCTACACATGCTGGTAATTACACAAAAGCCGTAGTAGTGAAAAGACACACTGCTGACATACGCACATTCCTGCAATGTATCAACAGGGCGCAGTACATTGGCTCAATATCTATAAGACTTTATTACGGGAAAAGTTGTCCAGTTAGTCCTAATAAAAAATAAAAACGGCTATAGAAATCTTGTAACCATTTTAAAAAGGTGGTATTCTTTAGATACACTCTTAAAGTGATAGAAATATATTACAAAACAGGTTTATTATGAAACACAAGGTATAATACACTTACAATCAATACCGATTTACAAATATGGTAAAAAGCCAACATGCATTTTTAATTCTCACCAACTACATTAACGTTTAAGGGGGAATTAGACAATCACTTAACATTCCATTTCTGATTTACTAACCCGTTTGTTTTATCTTTAAAAAAATTAAAAATCAATTCATGGTGTATGTTTGAGTAGAATTCATGCAACCAATATCTCTATTGATAGCCACTTACCAAGAGAGTCAATAAAGTCTTTGTTACTCTGGTAAAACTTTACATAGGCTATCAGTTTTCCACTGACGAAGATGGTTAATAACTGAAACAAAGATTCAGAAAAGAGAGAATTGCCATTATCAGACTCAAGAAACAGTCATTTCATCTTTGGACAGGCAGAAAGTTGTCCTGATATTTAACACAAGAAAAAAATTGCACATCCGTCAGTACTCACGTCATGGATGAGTTCTCCCTCCAGGAATCGAACCGGTTTCAGGGTGAGCAGGTGGTCAATCAGGAAGGTGTTGGGGTCTTTGAGAGCACGGACGATACATCTAAAGATAAGGGGCATAAACGGATGGAAGTTTGTATGACGGTGGTAAGTTATATCGAGGCTTAATGACAATTGTTGACATGTTTACCTGTGGGCATCAACACGTGCTTGTGAAGCATTGTCTTCTGTGTAACTTCCCAGCAGCTCAACCATCACTTTTGCTGCAGCATCGCTGTAAAATGTGTAGATAGATTGTTGAAAACTCCTATAGGTAGGTGGGTCTAGAGGTGTAAAGGCAGAAAATAAACTCTTCTTCCATGCAGTTTATCCATCTTAATTATGTGTATTGATATTTCTGCATCAGTGCATTTCAAAACATGAATTTTACTCATCTGAACCTTTAAGTAGTTACCCTTTTTTGCAGTCAACTAATGCTTCATACACCAGCCTCAAGAGTGTGTGCTTCTTCTCTGTGGTCAGGTTCCAGTCGATAATCCACTTGCGCACCTGCAACCATCAGCAGCACAAAAAGGTTTCATAAATCAACTACAGACAACGTTGCAGAATGATGAGGTATATTTAATAATGGTGAACAGGTATACCTGATCAAGGTCAGTTGGGATGAAGGCAATGGCATTACAAGTCGCAGCCACCTTGATGAGGCCACAGAAGACAGTGTACCTCACTGTGGTGTTCTCGTCCATGCCGTGGAACAGGTTACTCAGCCTTAAACATCAAAACATGAAAGAGATGGTCAAGTGTTTGAACAGAGAACTGATTTCTTAAGTGTATGTTTAACATGTTTGTTTTGAAAAGAAGATAGCAGCTGTCCTGCATATTGATGAGGTAAACAGTATCATTATGTTAAACTCACAAGACCAGCAGGTACATATTAACCAACATCAAAACAATGGCCTATTGTGGATGAATGTATACATGGTCAGATCTTTGGAAACATTAGCTATATTAGGGAATAATGTAAAAAAAAAAAAAAGTAAGGTTGAAAAAAAAAAGCAGAAAGGACCCACAGCTGCATCCTGAGGGAGGGTCTCTCTCCTTCACGGGACTTCAGCAGCTTCTCACATAGACTTTCAATGAGAGCTTCCTGCTTCTCCGTCTCCAGGATTAACAGCAGAGACACAATGCTGTTCATCACACTCTCTACCTCTGCAGGGAGAAAGAGAGAGGGCCATAAGTAATGCAACACTTTATCCAGCGAGAAGCCAGATTCATGGTCCTAGAACTGGGCATCAATCACTGTATAAGCTACCAAAGACATTTTATACATAAACACATATCATTTACTTGTGAAAAAGGCATATCGTGGTGTGGTGGTTAAAAAAGGGTTGTTCTTTATGATCGCCTACCTTTATCATCGTCCATAAGGCACACATCACATGCCTCGATGATCTGAGCCAGATCTACATGAAGTCCGCCTTCTGAGTTCTCCTCTGATATTTCAGCTCCTTTGGCCTTGATGTAGGCTCTTAGCTCCAACGCCTGTAATGTTGTAAAGTCAAATATAAGAGTATTATTGACTGTTACACAAAACCGTAGAGCCCAAAGATACCCGTGTCGATAATGTAATAGATGATTATTAGCCTAACGTGTTTTCCTAGCTGCTATTGTATTGCAAACTGTACATACTTTTTGTTTGGAATACAAATATGTTACAAATAGTTGTTAGAAGCAAAGAGAAAAAACGTTAATACTTTTTTATTAAACCAAGTTAAATGTATCGCCTATGCAGTGATGTAGAGTAACTGAGTAGATGTACTAAAGTACTCTAGTTAAGTACAATCCAGAGGCACTTGTACTTTACTTGAGCATTTCCAAGTAATGCTACTTTGTACAATTCAGAGGTAAATATTGTACTTTTAGCCCACTAAATGTATGTAGTACGTTTAGTTGCATTGCAGATATAAATGAATGATAACAAATATTATCAACTCTGAATTAAGACCTGGATCAAATTCATGCAACCCAGCAGTAAAAGAAAAAAACGTCAAACGTGTTTCACCTTTACTAGCTTGATAAAGAATAGCATCAAAATATATAATATATATGATTCTGAAAAGGACCATACTGCATAATGAGTACTTTTGGTAATTTAAGTATATATTTAGATGCCAATACTTTCGTACTTTTACTTGAGTAACATTTAGATTACAGGACTCTTTCTAATTTCTAAGCTTCGGTATTTCTACTTCCACTTAAGTATAATATCTGAGTACTTCTTCCACCTCTGCACTAAAGCAGGACGTTTTTGGTGGCTTGTTATTGTCTTTTATCTCTTTGTTGATGTAGATGCATGTATGGCCGAGTAGCTAACTTTAGCATTCTAAGCTATTGTAACGTAACAACTTTGAAGAAATGCGTAAAATGTTAGCCATAACCAGGTTGAAATTAAAAAGAAAAGGAAAACGATTTACATACACAACAGTACGTTTAATTGTATCATTAACGACATGCTTCCACATATGTCGCATCATCAGTACGTAGCTCGCTAACAATCAGCATGTAGCTGTCAGCAACGGTTAGCATCTTAGCTTGCTAGCATGCTAAGTTATCTGTTTGGCTGCTTCACATTTAACGAGTCATCCGAAGGCGGGACGACGGAAAATCAGTTCTTAAAGACATGGGTCGTACCTGGTCTTCTTCCGTAATATCGATAAATGCTGGGACGCTCATTTTTGATGTTTTTGCGAGCCTTGAGGATGAAATCCACGCTCTCACCACTACGAGACCTGAGCGGAAAAGAAAACGTAACAGTGCCGGTGAAGCTATTTGCTCTTCCGGTTCAAGATCTTAAAGCCACAGTAACCTACAAAACAACCGTTCAAGTCTCATCACTGTTTGTACCTTTGTGACCCTTTCTTGTATTGTTACTTTTAAAACTATGCGTACTTCTTTAACGTAGCACCATGCACATCAATTATTTGACTTTGATTCATCATTACAGGTGGGTTGTAAACAAATCCATTGCAGTGCTGGATAGCTTCAGCTTGTGCCACCTTTTCTTTCAGAGGTCAGAAAAACCTACTAAATTTCAGTCACCCAGACTTCCACCACCATATCCTTAATATGTCTTTCTTTCTTATCCAGATAACAATCTCCGCTCAGGGAGATTAACCCTGGATGTCTTGGATGAGAGTTACAGAGGTGAACCTGATCCCCAGGAGAGGTTATCTGATTGAGCTGCAGTCCATCTGTGTGGACCACCATGGCAGGCCTGGCCGAGAGCTTTCCAACCCGGAAACACTGTCAGTGTCAAAGGGCAACAGTCTTCCACCATACAACCGCTGACCTATGGGTGCGCTTGATGGGCCCCTGTTCGAAGTGCTATCCTGTGACTTGTTACCATGGCAGGTCACTTGGTGATTGAGGTGATTGAGGTGAGTGAGGTGAAGAGTGTAAGTGGAGCAGGAGTTCACCCTAAAACTATGTATTCGGGTTACTAACATCTGAGGTGTTGAGCAGGCTGTGTCCAAGGCTGAAGACACTGTGGAGTGTATTCCATTTGAAGGCAGCAATGAAGCTCACACTTCATCTGTCATAAAAATATGTGTATTTAAGATGTTTCCACTATGATTCATGAATCCTTGAAAGTTTGCTTGTCATATATTTATTTTAACGGTTTCAGTAAGGGGCATGAAGTCTGTCGCCTATTGCGGGAAAAATAACTTAGTGCTTAGGGGAAATGGCTATGTGTGTTTCAACAGAGTACTAGTATGATGCGTCATTCTTCTGGGGAAAGCAAGTGCCTGGTACCAAATCGCACCCTCACTCTCTCCCAGCCTTAGTATGCTGTCATTGCAAAGAATTTATAGTTGCTTCTCTACAAGTGAGCTTGTGTAACTGTGAGGCTTTCATTATCTGATTAACAGCTGTTGTCAAGTGCCTGGTGTATTTCAAGTCCAGAATAAGAGTTGGGGAGTCTTTGAAGCTCCAGGTGCATGTTTGAGACTTTGTTTTTGTCTTCTTTAAAAGGTCTTTAAAATGCCAGAGCGTGTTATGATGCTTGATAGCCTTTATAATATTCATGGCAGACTGTCCTGAAAAAAGCATGGATATTGCACTTCAGTTAACCTTTTAACTCCAAGGGGACTGTACCTGGTACTCTGTTTTATATTATTTAAAATCTAATCCTGGTAATGTAGTCTTCACAATATTTTTACGTCATATAGCTGCGAACATCATCAATGTTTTTTAGTAACTGGTATCAATGTCTGATAGGGTGTTTTATGTTGGTGTATGTGTACACAATTCATTGGAAGAGTGTTGGTCATTCTATTTTTGTTGGGGCAATGTAATTTCTTAGGTCACAAGGGTGTTGTGAAATAATTACAGATATTGCCAAAGCCAATTCATATCTCCTCTTACCTTGAGGTAAAAAACGTAATGTGCTATGTTAAATTCCAATCCTCTGAACCGTATGTTCGTTCCTAAGCCTGAGTCTTATCTGATTGTGCAGCATACAGAAAATGTGTGTTAAGTCTTCAAAGCTGTACCTCTAAAAGGGAAGGAACAAGCTAAAAAAAAAGGTCTCCTTCAGTCACTATAGTGAAATGTTGATGCACTAGGTTTTAACATTAAGGCAATAGGCACATAAAAAGTGTTAATGTGTTTGTGTATGTTGCCATTGCCAACCATATTTGCTAGAGCAAATAATAATATCTTGGAAATGTATAATTTTAATGAGAACAAAAAAGCTGAAGATCAATTCATGTTTATGTAGGTCTGAAAGATTTATGTTGCCAATATATCTATATTGGCCTCATCCATATCTGTTTGGTTGGAAATAGCACATGCCCTTTCTAAACTGCTGGAAAATTGCCTGCTCAGCCTCGTCAAAGATAAATGACTGTGTGTTAAGAGTTCGTTGAGCCCAGGTGTCTACTTTCTCCCTGTCAGCCAGCCAAGTGGTGAGTATCCATGTAAGCCTGTGTCATGGTCATCATCCAACATGGCCGCCCACCTTCCACACACTAATTGTCTGGTTCCCACAGTTCTGCCTGCCTTCACAATCTCAGAAAAATCCCCTTGCTCAGGCTCATCTATCAGCCAATGACCTTGTCAGTGTGCCTCGCATGATTAACTTCTCCTCTTCCCTAGGTGGAGCAAATTGCTTGTTAATTACTTATAAGCTGACCCACCCTCCCCTAACACGTACACAAATATACCAGAAACAAATAAACAAACAAAGCCATTGTTTTATTAAGTCCACAATGGTCCAAGGCATGCAAAATCCCACAGGGCCTTCTGATGGATTTTATTATCCACAAAAGATACACAAATAAATATTATAAACCCCTTACGTACTTCTTTGTTTTCAATTCAGCTTTTGATATTTTAATACAAATGGCTATCATCTAACAGTTGAATTTCTTGCAACACTGTATTTTAGCTCACTTGCCATACAGTTTACATTGAGATTTGAGGCAGCTAACCAATAATCTAATCCAATCCAATCCAACTTTATTTATATAGCACTTTAAAAACTTTGAGACCAAAGTGCTGTACAGAGAGATAAGCTCACAAAACATAAAATAAATACATTTAAAATAAAAGATACAAACACAAAACAAACCAGATTAAACGTAATGATTAAAAAATAAAAATAAATAAATAAAATAAAACAGCCATATAATAAAAACAATAGACCACTGAAAGCAAATAAAAGCAACAATCTACTTGTTTCCGAATGCTTTTTTAGTGCAGTGGAGCCTCACTTTAGAGAGAGAAGAGAAGAGGTGGGTTTTAAGACGCAATGTAATACTCGAGAGGGCATACTAACAACAGTGCTGACTTTTATAATATGATAGGCTTTGCTGTACACTTACCATTGTCAAGGTGTATTTCCCCCTCTTTTTCCTCTATATATTTCACCAGTAAGATAATCACCCTGCAGCTAAAATGTGTTGTTGAGTAATGGTTTAGTCAAATGGCAGAAACTATTATTGACAAATATCTTGAAAATCAATTAACCGTTGAGAAATTGGGTAAGAATGTTGCAAATGTGCGCAAAATAAATAAAAACAACTAATGCAACTGTTTAGTTTAGGGGTTTTCAAGGTTTCTCAGGCCAAGGACATCTAGGCTGAAGGAAAGACGGAGCAGGGCCCCCCTATCACTTATGTATAAAATGTAGATGCATATTAAAATGGTCGGCAGTGTTGTATTAACATACCTTTTTTTATAATGCATACAATACTAAGCTTTTAAAAGATAATAAATAGCTGTAGCTTACTGTTCACCGTTGTTGATATTGGATGCTAATTGGCTGCATACTCCAGTGAGACTTTCATCATTCAATTATAAAAAATGTTGTTCTTTTATCTGAACGTTTATATTTTACTAACTTGGCTGAAACCATTTGAAGCAAAAACCTACGCCTCACCAAAAATAAAGAAAGGTTGCTACGTAAACTGCCGCTGTTATCTTGCCATATCACTTAATGACCAGCTTCATATCACACCAAAGACTGCAGCAATCAATCAAAGCGAGTTTGCATTTGTAGTGTTGAGCTATCTGAGGTCGTTAATCCCCCCTATGTGGAATGTGTGTGCTCTGTTTCAACCTAATGGCAGCAGAAGCAAAAAAAAAGAAGAAACGCTGCAGTCTTCCAAGAACTCGGACGTTCCTGTCTGGAGAGATCGAGTCACTGCAGTGGAACCGGGGCTCTGTTAATGATGGAGTGGTCTTTTGTCATCAGAGTGTGTTTATATTACACATGCTAGTAGGTGCAATGCGACTTTAAAAGGCACTGTCAATCAAAAAGGCTAATTTTTTTCATTTGGGGATACATTGCACAATATTTGGATTAAAGCCATACATGCCAAGTCTTAATACTAATTAGAGGCATGTTAAACTGTGTGACCCTTCCTTTTATGATACCATTGTTTCATTAGTGCTGATAAATACAATGCTGATGACGGAGAACAGGCAACCTTTAAAACTTTCTCAGTAAAACAATACAAGCTTGACGACATTTCTGCTTTCACAAAAGATGTGTTTGAAAGGGATATTTGTTTATGTTATTCTTCATGATGAGAAATAACCAAGCCTTTAGAAATCAGGCAAATTATTTGCAGCAAAGCATTTTTGAAACATCTTGTCCTTCATGGATTGAGACATTTGCTGTAAAACACCATTTCCCTATAGTCACATTCTTTGATGATTGTGGTCATTGTTATACTTTCCCATCATTGTGCACATACCTCAGAGTCATCATGTAAATGTTTCTTGTCTAGAATCAGGCTCAAGGGTATGACAACAGACACAAAACCGCTGGAGTTATCTGAAATGTTTTCTGATGACTGCTTACGCCCCGGCCACAGCTGCTAGGGTGTGACAGCATGGAAGAGGCTGTGGTTTACTGTAAAGAACTGATAAAGGCCGGCCTTGCTCCTGACACACAGCCACCTGCTGGGATGAGACATAGGTTGTTCTGTGAAATTCAACAAGACACTTTCAACAACACTGTGTTTTTTGTCAATACATTTATTAAGATTTATATGAATGTATTATATTCATAGTGGACTAATTTTTAACCTTAGTTTAAATGTTATATTGTATGTAGCTTTTTATAAAGCTGTTTTATTATTTATTAAAAAATACAATCTATTATCATGCCTTTTCATTTTTTAAATGTAAACACTAATAGACAAATATGTAGGTAAAAGCTGCACTTTCTCTGGAAACACAAAATGTCTCTAACATTGATTAATATAGAGTTTTAACAATAAACATGGACATTTTTTGTGCGTCAATCTCGTAAACACCATCGTGTGCTGTCATACTCACTAGCGCAACAAATGTGTTAAATCAGCAGCTTGAAATAGGCCCCAACACATATCCTGTGCTCCTCTTTTTAAGAAACATTTGCTAAAAAATACAGTGCACAGCCATTTTTTTCCTTAAAAAATGGGATGGGATTTGTTGACAATATAAAAGATTCATAATATATCCAGCTTTCTCCTTTAGCGACTGTCAATGTGCACTTCTTTTAAAATGACTGAGTGTTTATATTCCCTGGTTTAATGAATTCACTCTTGTTTTTGACCCTGGAGCATCCAGCTTTGTATGTATATGATTCAGGAAGAGGGGTTTGGTTTTAGAGGGGAAAGGTGATTATCAACAACAAGAAGAGCCCGGGTGTGTGAAAGATCAGTGCACCAGTGTTGTGTCTGACACATGAACCATGGAAATGCCCGCTCTCCCACAGATCTTTCTTCTCTGTTTCTTATCTCCAGTGCGATATGCAACGCTTTGAAGTATGCTCGGGTATGATATGGGAGATAATTAAAAACTGACGACTGTTGTTTTTCATGTGGGGTCATGGGCAAAAGAAAGAATGTACATGCTGTTTCAAAGCGGAGTTGACATTGAATCTTAAAAAGGCATAACATGACTGTTTCGAAATGTATCCTTAATTGTCTAAGAGTGATGATGGCCAGGGCGTTCAGATTATGTTATCTCAAAGAGCAGAAGCCTCACTGTCACAAATGTCCAAATAGTGCTCTGAGAAAGTAGCAAGGGAAGACAGAGGAATTATTGTTCTGCCTGACATTTGATTTAAATAGTAACCATCTCCTAGAGGCCACAGGCAGATAGGAGGGCGATGATGAAACATTACAATACAGTACTGTTCGGTTGTTTGCCAGTTGTCATGCCTATGTAGAGAAGTCGTACCTTATTTATGCCACAGTCTGTACATCAAAATAACACCTTTATCTTTTTCACCGTCCTCTCCTATATTATATCGCAGCCATTTTTTTAAATTAATCTTATAAGGTAAAGCACCATTGCTCTCGTTTACAAAATAGGAGCTTTACAAATAGTCTATCTTCAAATGCAGTAGTATGAATAATACAGATGTTTATTAAAGTGGAAAGTATTTGTTATAGTTTCAGGTGCTCTGCCAGGTCATCTTTGTAGTTTATCATGTGTCTCTGGCAAGAGCAAACCCATCTCAAGTTCCCTCTTGCTCATAATGCTGTAGAAAGCTTGAGTCTTGTTGTATTTCTTGTTAAGGGTCAGAGGCAATATTGACCATTTTCCTTCCTCTGAACAGTGATGTTGTTTTAAACCCTGGCTAAACCAGAGATTGATCTCAAGAATGGGTGTATTTGGGGACTGCCATCCGTCATAGGGGCTGAAAGGGTTGTTTTCTCCTGGCCCCGTCACCTTTGATGAATCCCTGCTAAAGACTCCACTGGGGAAGGCACGGCTAGCATTTGCCTTGGCTCAGAGGCACGCATTTTATTGACTCTCTACAGATAATTTTAATTGTGCCACAACCTTTTGTACTTGCAGCACATTACTTTAGTTGGTGTTTGTTTGTAGTGGGTGGACAACGGAAGGTTTTTCCAAACTGTTTGGGGAGATATTAATTTTCTTTGCTACTATTTGGAAGTCTCTTTGTGGACATCCTCCTCATGTCTGGGTGTTCCTCAGGGATATTGGTCTGCCTTTGCGCTCGTTTATTTCCAAGTATAGAGTAAGTCAGAGAGCACTTTAGCTTTTCTTTGACCACAAACCACCCAGATAAATCTGTGTTTCGCTTTTAGCAGCTTTTGTAAGGTTATGACCGTTGTGATGGATGTCATCAGATACACTTGGGCTATAAAATTGTCATATATTACCCTTTGCTAAAACTGGGGGATAAACTGGGGAAACTTGTAACATAGATGTTGCCTCATTGTAGTCGAAAAAAGGGTCTGCTTTTATGCTTCTTCTTTTAGGCCCATTTGTTGCTTCAGAGGAATCTACTCGACATGTTATCAAGCTGGTCTTGCTGCTACTTGTCAAACTAGTTGAATTTTCACTATCCAATAATCAATATACTTAACATTTATTCTCTGTTGACTCCTTCCAGTAACCAAACATGTAACTTAAAGAGCATTAAAGGAAAGCTCTGTAAACTTGTGCAATATTAATTAATGCTACCTCAGCAGCTTGCTAGCTAATTTCATCACTCTCTCAGTGACTTCAGACTTCCCTCTCTGTTTTTGAATGTAATGTCCCTCCTCCCCCCCACCTCTTCTTTTTAAGTTGAATCCGGGGTCACTGACATTGACTGGAATCCTAGACTAATATTCCAGATGGTGATGACAGGAACTGGCTTACACTCTTCACCTTGCAGCATCATGTCCGTGGATTTTTAGTGCCATCTCGAAATTGAGTGTATAATAAAAGATGAAGTTACATTGTAAAACTCTCTTGTGGCTAATTTATCTCTGTCCATCATGTTGTGGTCTAAATGATCAAGGGGCTCATTCGTCACAAGTAAAGAACTCATGTGGATGGACTGACAGCTTGAGATTTAGTTTATTTTTTTTATTTTCATTAAGTATAATGTCAAGCAATTGCAGATCCAAAATAAAAAACTTTTATAAACACCGTAGACGTTTCCAACTGTCCAGTATTTAAAGATCTCTTATATGATGTTATTGTCTCATTTTATAATAAGCAATACAATATGCAATCACTTTAAAGACTTATAAGTTTGACTTTTACAATAATAATAAAAGTAAAAATTGTTTCACAGTTTTCATCTCATAAATGATTGTTACGCTACATATAATGTAGCAAGGTTTATTTTTAAAAAGCAAAATACTTGTTGCCGTTTCAAGCCTTCTATGAAAAGGAGGAACCCGGCAGCTAATCTGACAAATATAATAATGTTTAAAGATCCACAGCAGCTGTACTGCATTTATGTTTTTATTCCAACTTACTGCATTCCTGTGTAGTTCCACATTGAGTTAAGCTTTTGTTGAGGTCAAAACCTCTATCTCTTAAGCACTGACACACACACACACACACACACACACACACACACACACACACACACACACACACACACACACACACACACACACACAAACTCCCCCTCTCCTCGACCAATAAATAATTATCCTTTTGTGTGATGTGGCTTGGCTCCAAGGCCATGCAGTTTGTGCAAGTTGCTTTAGAAAAAACCGTTCTATTCCCAAAATGGAAAAATGGATACACTCAGAGGTCATTTTCTGCAGGTTTTGCTATTTTTACATTTTGAGTAATAATAAATACATCTTTGATTCTGTTTATTAGTTATTCAATAGTCTTTTTTAAACAGCCATTTCCAGCCAATATATTAAACAACAAACTCTCCCGACTTTCGATAAGTAAACAAGTAGAACACATATAGGTTAAAAGTCCAAATGCAACTTCACCAAAAAAAATATGTTATATTCTGATGCTCGCATTGCCTCTTTAATTCATAATGTATATTTGTTAACTTATTTTGAAAGTGAGGTATATTTCATCTAACCAATGAGTCAGAAGAGTCAGAAATGATGATGAATCTCTGAGAACGGCCTATGTCTATTTTAGTTTAGTTGTTTTTAAAATGACATTGATTTAAGTTTTAAATATTTTGTCGACACATACTGAACATTCAATATTTTTTTATTTTACAAATCTCATCCATGAATACAAAAATTACAGTTTAATCTGCGCAAACATGGGCCTTGACACAAAATAGACTTACACTCTTGTCCTTACGAAAAACTCGTATCAGTTTTATGCTTAAAGTCAGTACAGTCATTCTGAGAAATTTATCAAATACTCTCCTTCTTTCAGACACTTATTCATACACACTAACATAAACATTTAATATGAGCAACACTTGAACACGAACAAAGACGGAAGAGCAACACTCGCTCATGCAAATGGGATGTTAGTTAGAATCTACTCAGAAGTGCAGTCACCGGGGGTAAGGCAAGGGAGTCATCTTCTCCTCAGCCTCCCTCGCTCCTCCCCCTGTCCAATGGGTTCTGCAGTATTAGAGCCTTCAGGAGAGTAAGGAAAGTCAGACATTATAGAGACAGAGGGACAAGGACTGCTGCCCTCTCAGACTCCCACTCCTAATCCAGGGTGCTTGAAATTTGGTGTCCACATTTAGGTCATTAATTCATTTATGTTTCAGTTCATGACTTGTGTGAGGAAAGATGGCTGCTATAGTGTGTTGTGACCACTGATGTTTGTTTTTGCGGAATAGTTTGCTCCCTGCTTCTTTAGGTTGTTGTTTTTTAGTTTTTGTTAAACCTTTTTAGGAGACTTTGTAACTGTGAGACTCCCAGCTTGTGGAATACCAGCCCTTCTTTCTCTGGACTGTCTCAAACTGCTTTCTACAATGCTGACCGACCCGTGTGGAGCCATGTCGATGGGGTCAGATGTTCGGGATCTGACGCTCCTACCTCCAGTGCCTCCTGGGTCATCCTTACCGGGCGCTGGTGGCGGCTGTGGGATGTCTGTTGGGGGTGGTCAGTGGACCCAGCTGCTGGACCTCCACCCCGGCTCTCCCTACAGCTCCCTGCCCTCCCACCACTCCCTCATCAAGCAGGAACCAGGTTGGGGGACCGCTGATCCGATAGAGGACCCTCACTGTGGACTCGGGGCCTTCACATTGCACTTCTCAGGCCAGTTTACAGGCTCGGGCCCCTGCCGAGTTGGGGCCTTCGGAGAGCCAACTGGAGGTCAAGCGAGGATGTTTCCTAATGGTACCTACCTGCCCGGCTGCATGGACAGTCCTCCTACACACAGGAACCAGGGTAAGCATGCACATCCAGTACTACAAGTCTTCTTATTAGCTTAATGTTAAATATTAGTCACGACAAATGAAGAGCATACACTTATCAATACATCTAGACTATTACTGTTTATTTCGATTATTACTTTGTTATTGCCTATTTCCTGCTGTGTATGTGGATGATATCACTCCATGTTATGGGTTGTCAACAGTTTGTGTCTGAGCAGGATGTTTTGTGCTGTACTGGGTCATTCTGTCCCGTGTCAGGAAAAAAGCTTGACAGCTTTCTGGTAATGCTCTGGCAGACATCTAGAAACAGTTCCTTTGCAATGGGTTTTTGAGCAGAGATGCTGATTTTCAGTCATCGTCACAACAACCTGTAAGGGTACATGCGTATTAGTAGGTAGATTATTAATAAGGCTTCACCAGTTGTTGTTTTGACTGTATTGCCCATACATTCCAAATGGTAACTATAATGCATCTTAATCTTTTTTTCTTATGCTGAGCCAGACACAAACTCCCTTGCCGTTTTAAAAGTCATGCACATAATTATGTTTAACTAACAACAGGTTTTTGAAAGTATTATGCGACAGCAGAATTAATATAAAAATATCACTAGCATTGGGTCAAAGCAACCCGAGCTAATGGTTATCCAATATTGCATACATACCAACCAATTTAATGAATACACATATAGACATTAACATTTTTTTAAAGATAGTGACGGGTTGAGCGGCCACAGTTCATACACACTGTTCAGAAGAAGCTTAGATCATCCAGTAAATTCAAATTGGCCAAAGACCGAGAACACAAAGATACTGAATATGCTCATCAGCTCAGAATGAATGAATTATGTTCAGGTTTTGCATTTTTGAGTTTATTGGCCTGTGGTAATTTTAAAATGATATGGAGTTTTAAAAGTGAGTACATAATCTTCAAAATAAATCCTCTGCCCACAATTGCTTGGTTTAACAAAACAACTTCTTATGCTATTAAAAATATATAGAAAAACTCTGAAGTAATACACATTGAATCAATAGCTTTATTTACTACGATTCTTTTTTTTAAATCCCAGCAAATCTTCACAAAACACATGGTAAAAAATCAAAACTTTCATATTTTCATTTAATTTCAAACCTTTATTTATCCAGGTGTATCCCTTGAGATCATTGATCTCTTTTTCAAGGGAGATCTGCTCATATATTTGGAATCTTAATCCGGCACCAAACTTAATTTTAGTCTCCTGTCAAATCTTAACATTGTGATATCTCTTCCTTCTCTGTAAACATTGCGTGTGAATGTTGACTATTAGGACTTAGAGGTCCAGTGTATGTGTGTCTGCTGATATGACTTTCAATCACTATGTAGCAAGTCCTGTAGTAATAATAAACACTAAGCGTAGTGCTATGCAGACTGCTGGGATTAAGAAGTAAGAATTTGTGAGTCATTTTTACTCAGAAACTTTTCAATAACCCTCTCGGGGCTGACTCAGGAAAAATAGAGGTTGCACTCATGCTGTGCTTGAATGATCACTTTCACATAGCTTTCCTCAAATGCAACATTTTCTAAAATGTATTACACTTTAATAATTGCAATCATAAACATAATGTTAGTTAATGTTACCATGCGTGTCCCTTATAGCTGTAATTAAATGAGCATACATTCAACCTTGTTTTTCTACCAAGAATATTCTACAGTAGCTCATCTCAGTCCGCCTGTGGTGTGTTTGCCAAATTTATTTTTCCACCTGCCATAAATAATGAAACCACAAGGCCAAAGATAAATGGGGGGAAAGAGAGAATATGTTACAAGAAAAAAGGATTTAATAGTTTGATAAATGTGTCTCTGTGTTGACCCTGCCAGGGACTAAGAGCCACTACCAGGGGATTCAGATAACTGACCAGATACTGCAGACCCTGCATGTTTTATTTGCAAGATGATAATCTAAGTGAATAAAATCATTTTAACTTTCCATTGCTTCTCTTTGTGTTTTCTCTTTTTTAGGTTATGGCGCAGTGGGTTTAGACAGCAACCCCAGTTATGGTCACACTCCCTCTCATCACAGCCCTCAGCTCTCCAGCCTGTCCTTCAAACACGAGGACACTCTGTCACCGCAAAACAACATAGGTAACTGTCTGCGTCCTGACGCCTTCTCTCAGAATTGACTCGCAGGCCGGAAGACTGTCATGTCACAGCAAGGTTATATAAGTAACCCGCCATTTTTCACATCAAAATAGAAACGCTATTATCCATTTTTCCTTCATCTCTCTCCGTCTCTGTCGGCACACACATTCATACACGCAGGCATACATAAACACAGCCTCCTCTCGCTCTTTAAGCATACGTATGGTTAATGACTCTGGAAATGATAACTTGAGGAAACAGCTTTATGGGACTCTGCTGGAATGTCAAAAACTGTCTGGGGACTAATATACTATATGTACCTGAAAAGAACCACTGTTTCTGATTGACCGGGTCTCTCTTTGAAAATAAGTGCATACACTACATGCATGTACATAAGTGTGCATGTGTTTTTTATATTCATTTTAATAGTATATTTTAGCTCCAGCTCAAAAGATATAGATGACAAGCTGCTGAATGACAATAGAAACTTAAACAACTAGAAACATGTGAAGTTGAATTCCTTTGTCGATAGGTCGATCACAAAACAATTATTCATACATTTTTTATTTGACCAAGTGTAAATATGTGCCAGTTTTGTTATTGTTCTGTAATAAGTAAATAAGAATATTTGTGTGAGTTTAGCTTGAACAAACAAACAAGTACTTTAAGTGACGTTAAATCAATTTGTTGATAGGTTGATCACAAGATAATCAGTTATCCTCAATTGTAATAATGGTTTATCAATGTTTTATTTTTACCAAAAGTGTGTATACTTGCATGTTTCCTCAGTCTTCTATGATAGGTTAAGTATCTTTGTGTGAGTGAAGCTTGAATAAAACAAGCATCTTGTGAACATACTTTTTAAAGACCAAACTGTTCATAAATTATGGAAAAAATAAGCAACTTTTGTATTTTCATTTACTTTTCAGTTGACCAGCAGTACCCAGCTCCTCCTCCCATGTTTGGCTGCCACAATCCTTCAGAATCGTGTCCGAGCAGCCAAGCTCTGCTGCTGAGAAACTACAGCAGGTAATCATTTGTCCCTGCAGGCGCTTATTGTTCCTGTATTTGACTCCTGCTACTTTGAATCCTCCATCGGCACAATTCGGCCTTCCCAATCGCTTTTAGACTCCTCACTCGTCAGCTAATGTCAGATTCTTTCCACCAACACCACATGCAGCTCGCCCACTTGCTAGCAATTTTGAGAAGTGTGAACTCTCTCTGATCCTACGTTAAGCCCTGCGTCTGCCTCTCCACGGCCTGGATCCTCAATCCTAATTTGTTCTGAGGTTAAGTGCTGCCCACTGGTGCTCAGCAGGCCAAAACAAACACTGAGTGATCTACTGCTCATGTGTCTGAGTCCACCATGAGGAAAAACGAGGGGAAAAGTACAAGAGACAAGTTCAGTGAAAGTGAAGTGGGGGATGTTGGGTTGTTAAAGCTGGGAATCGTCTCATTTTAACCTCTGAATGTTTTACCAACGTGCTTTCAATTTGATGCAAAACATTTGAAGGGGTAAATAAGGGTAAAATACCTTGAATACCACCCTGCGATGTTGTTGGAGACAAGGAACATGTGCAACCCAAATACTGGAACAGAAGTTGATAAGAGGAAGGAAGCTGTTGTTAGAGCAAGAGCTGGAAACCCTCAAACAAACACGGAGACATCCACAAGCACATGCACATGCACACGCTCTCACACACACACACCATGAATATATGTCAGATACCAGTGAGTCTTTCCACAGTGTAACATAGCTCAGAGCTGATTAGAAGCCATCCCGATCCTTCCCTCAAGGACTTCTCAAGGAATGCCGTCCAGAATTCCCCCGAAACCGGTTCCCGCCTTTTAATGATACTGAGGACAGAGTGATGTCATGCACTGGTCCACGGTGTACTAGGCACGGAGGCACTCACCCCCGCAGAGTGCACAACTGCATCCCCAAGTGTGTGTGTGTGTGTGTGTGTGTGTGTGTGTATGTAAAGTGAGAGAAGGCACACTGCTGTGACATATGTGGCTTCCTCTCTCTGTCATTCTCTATCTCTGTGACATTAATTTGCAATGGTGCTGAGTGCATAGTGTGTAATTGTGGTAGCACATATAGCAAACTCAATCTGTGACAACTCAACTCCCCTGTCTTCTCCAATAAAGAAGTGAAGGTTAAATTGTTGGAGAATGTCAGGATTACAAAGGCACTCAAACTAATGCGCTCTCCCTGTCTTTCACACCTTAAAGATACTTAAGGATGCAAAAAGCATTCCCCTCAGCCTCCAACATGCACACACACCTTTCCTCAAACACGTGTATGGAGGCATTCTGCTGAGTAAACGGGTGTCGGAACAATATGGGGCTTTTAAAAATATGCTAGCGTGTTTTCCTCTCCATACGCAGCATCATTTGCAATTGTAATCTTAATCTCAACCCACTATTCACATAAATAACTCAAGATAAGCACACTCTTCGCTTCTGAGCAGATAAGAGAAACCCAAAGGAGGCAATCTCCTGTTTGTTTTTTTGTTTTTTTTAAGGGGGGTTGAGGGTTTAGAACAGTGACAAGAAACATTTCATTCAGTCTTCTGAATCCACTTTTTTTTTTCTTGTTCTTCAAAGCAGTATGCTTCTTGGATGGTTTACACTGACTCCTGGTAAACTGTGTTGTAATAGTGACGCCTACTGGATAAAAAGGGGTACTACATTATCACTGTTTATTTGAAACAAGCTTGAAACGTTCACATGTGTCTCAAACTTTTGACATTTCTGCTCACTTATTTTTCTCCAATGCATTTTCCTGTTTTTTGGGTAGAGTTACTGTAACTGTATGAAATCTTGCAGCAGCTCGCCATAGTAATTGTTTTGTTTTTGTATTTTACACATCTCTCTTTATTCACCTATAATTATTTTGTTCACTTTACTATTGAGCAATATCTAAAATAGTCCCCCAAAATCTATGGACGTACTGGGATATTTACCGCATTAATTTTTTGTCATAGTTAACCTCCCAGTGTTGATTCAGACTGCCACATCACTTTGAAAAATGCTCACTCTCTTCTGATATAAAAGAAAAACTGAAAACATTTAGCAGATCCAATTAAGAGAGAAAATCTATCGATCAGAAAATAATATTCTATGTTGTAAAACATGTCAACCCCTTTTTTCTTAAAATTATGGAACCTATTCTTGTCATGTTGATTTCTCTCTCCAAGGTTTTCAAATAGAGTTTATGGTCTTCCCTCATGATGGATCATCTCAAACACAGCCATTTTAAATTGTATGTGAGGGCATTCATTTAAAACCTAAAAATCATCAGTCTCTCAGCTTCCTCACCAACTGCATGAACGATTCCCAGAGGCCTCAGTGGTTTCAGATCAGCATGCATCACATTTGCATTAACGGCTTACTCATGACGTCAAAGGAACAGTGTAAGTTATATGGCCATTTAGCAGAGCTTTCAGACGCTTCTTTGATGTCACAATAGCTAAGAGACTGCTTTAAGCATGACCGTGACGGAGAAGCATTTAAAGCAGTGTTAAAGTGAAGATCCTTCTTGGTTATGAGCAAATTAGTGTCTGTGTTAATGTTCTCTGCGTAAACAATGTTGAATATATAATTTCTTAACATTTCTTTAGTGACTGCTCCTCAACAAATTAAACAATGCACTTTTTTAAATTATTAGTACAGTACAGTAAACACAAATACCCAGCACAAAGCTAAAATCTCCCAGATACAGACAAAATGCCTAAACTATTCACATAAGTCTCATTCAATGTGAATATTTGGAGTTAGGGCATGTGCTTTTAGATCACATGCAGTGATACAGAACTGTATCAAGGATCAAATTAAATACTGTACATTTGTGTGATTTTGGCTGTATTTATGAATGTGTGTGTCTAGAGAGAGGCGTTTGACGTCTTAGTCTTCCAATGGCCTGCTCCGGGCAGTTTCCCTTGCATCTGCTACTGTGTGACTCTCGAGGGGATATCGCCAAAGCACGCACACAGACACACACACACAAACACACACACACACACACACACACACACACACACACACACACACACACACACACACACACACACACACACACCACAAACACCGACACATGATATTATCAAATGGCATGGCCACACACCCACGCTGTGTCCTAATTAAGATCTGCAGCGGGCGTCGTTCAGCCGAGGCAATCACTTTTTATTAACATTTGCACTTTGCAGTTGTTAATTCGGCTCCTAATGATGATGTTTGCATGAAGTCTCTCTGTTCGAATGACAAGCGTGCAGAGTGCCCGCTCTCTGTAGAGGTGGTTGTTTAAAAATAAAATGGTATTTCCCATTGGTGAAGAAAATGTAGTGACCTACTGCAGATGCAAATGTGCCTCACAACTGCATTAAATATGCTTAGGCGCCGAAATAATGAGCAAATGGTTGTCCTTGGACGTTTGCCATATAGTACAAAAAATGCTGCTTTAGAGACGAATCAGTTCGATTTTTCACATAATTATTATTGTTATAAATAAATTGCAGCGTGCAGATTTTATTCAAAGCTCTTATGTTCATGTAAATATATATTTTATTATTGAATTTAAAAAATATAGTTCTAAAGATTTTTTTGGATTAAAATATTTTATTTGAAGTGCTGTGTTAACATTCCTTGGGGACAAATGGTGAAAGACTATCCTGGACATTTTGTATTTGTGGCATTGATTATAACATTACAACGATTTTGGGACGTTTACATTAATCTAGGACCGATTGAAATCGTGTTTTGGGCCAATTCTGGGAGGCTTTTTTAACATTTTAAAGAACGTTTTATTCGAAAACAATCATTTTTGTATTGTTTTTTTTGGGTGAGAGTGCTCTTATGAGGCTTTCACACCAGCGCTTTTCCCTTTCTAGCTCGGAGCGGGAGCTTTTCTGGTTCAGCTCCGGTTTCCCTTTTCTGCTCCCGCTTTGTTCACACCGCCCAGAGCTGCCGCTGCTGCGTCATGACNCAACATTGTATACCTAAAAACATGGCAAGAATTGATATTTTAGGGCTGTTGACAGTATTTTCTGATTTATGGAGTGATAAAAAGATATATCCAAAATCCCTTCTGTAAAAGCCTTAGATACTAATATGACTACAAAATGAAACAAGAATTTTGAACCTGGCTTTATCCAAAGTTCAGATTTCGATTCCTGAAATGTGTTAAAATATGCACATATTTGATGAGATAATGGCTAATTTGCATATTTAAACATGCTATTTCAGAAAACTTTTAATACAAAAGACAATTGCCTTATTGTAAGTAATTAACTGGAGAAATCTCTAGCTGATACCTTTTAAGTTACAAAAATTACCCTATTCACCTGGGGTGTCTCGCCTTAATCTACTATAATTAGTTTGTTTAATATAGTCGTTATGAATTTGTTTTAAAGCTCGATAAATAACAAAGAAAACCTTTGACCGGCACTTTTCTCATTTTGTCCGGAAGATATAAACTTTTAACGGACATGTTGACCGCCAAAAAAGATTCTAGCGGAAACTCTGACAGAAAATATCTCATAAGAGTCTATTTTGACTTGTACACAGTTCCATAGTGTAGTAATTCCTAATAATACATGAGACATGTATAGTGCTTAAACTCAAAGACGCTTTAATGTCACCCAAAAGCATTTGCACTGCATTGTGTTTCATGAACAAGTATGTTATTTTTCCTAAAGAGAATTGAACAGGGCTTTGATTCACCATTCAGTCCCTTCATCAAATAAAAGCAGAATATTGATTTATATTTGACCAGTCTGATGTGCGTCGTTATACCGTGCAGCCTGTTAGTTGTTTCCATCTCTTTGAGAACGGTTAACACGTGTTGTAGGGCCGTACATTATATGGCGCTTTGCTATTAAGAATGGACCTCTGACACCCGTCACAACCCGGTGTTGTTTGAATGACAATTGTATTTTTAAGCATTTGTTTGTCAGTGATGTTTAAATGTTCAGCCTCTGCTTCATTGACTTTCTTTCTGCTTTCTTCCTATAGCTGTACGGACCAAGATGGTGTACTGCAAGATTGACCAGACGCAGAGAAAGGTTATTGTGAGGTAAGTCCTTTCATCCAATAACATCATATATGGCTTATCTGTATTGCCTTCTCTAAAGTAAAGGCTTAATACCAACCTAGACCTAAAGTACCTAACCTGGATCGTTGGAAAAACATGCTCCTGAAAGCAGTCCTAATGCTGATGGTGCCACCACCTTTGCGTTCTTGGTGATTTCCCCTCATTACATAATATTATTTCGCAGTACAGTTGATGTGAAAACATCAGGTTCAAATTCATGAATTATTATAAAAAAATGTAATGCTGTCAAAATTATCGCGTTAACGGCGGTAATTCATTTTTTTAATTAATTGCGTTAAAAATATTTAACGCATGTGCAGAATGGCCCGCCCCATACATCCCACCAGTGGCAGCGCTGGGGTAGGCTACAGCCGTACCAAGAAATGGCTTAGCCCCACCATGAAACATGATGTTAAAGTAAGCAAAATAAAGTCCGCCAACTCGCGCGGAGTAAATTGTTAGTAAGATTGATTTCAGCAGTCACTTGTCTGGAAATACAGAAGACTAGAAACGGTTTTGAAAACTTTTGTCACGTAGTGATCGTCTTCTCAATAGAACATCTTTGATAATGTCTTCTGGAATCAAGATAACGGCGTGGTGTTGTTGCAGGAAGTCCCGATGGAGAATACTTTTTGCTGTAGTACATCTCTATATACATCGATACAACATTACGTGTTGATAGAAATCAACACGTAATGAAATAAGACCCCACGGTTTGATGATTGATAGGTGTGTGGGCTGTCTTTCATTTTGACACACAGAACAATGTTATAATTAACATACATACTGTATGTTAAATGGATATATCCGCCTTCTTTCATTTATCTTTCCATTCCCACAACAATATACATAAAAAAATGGCATATTTTGGACATAGTTCGAATGGTGATTAATCATAATTAATTAATTTTTAAGCTGTGATTAATCTGATTAAAAATTGTAATCGTTTGACAGCCCTATTTTTTTTATGTGGCGCCTTTTGTTTATATGTTATGAAAAGTCCTTATATGCTTATGTTAGGCTAGTAACAGGCTACAAGATTGACTAATTAACGTGAAAATTGATACGTTTATTTTACTGAGTCCAGTCAAAGCTGTCTGTTCTCTGGTCAAGGTCAACAATGCTATGAGTTTAGTTGGTTCTGGTCTACAGAGAAATGTGCCATGTGTGTAGAAAATATAAAAAAGTACCATTTATCAAGACATTTTTAGATGTATTTTTATAGAACACGATTTTGGTTCTTTATAGATTTGATGTAATGTCCTAATACAGAAAACAAGCAATGTCATGTTTTTTTGTCACCCCTACATTTACTATAGCTATCAAATGTATTTTCCCAAGGTTTAAGACGTGACCTTTGCTTTCTTTCTCATAATTCTTCATTTAACATTCTTGCTTTTCTGTTTTCCACTCAATCAGCCACAGCACCCACCGCACCTTTGGCAAGCAGCAGTGGCAGCAGCTGCACGACAGCCTCAGCTCCTGGAAGGCCAACCTAGCAGCCGTCAAGACCAGCCTGCAAGCCCTGTCCCCTTCTGCTTAGTTCCACCGTAACCCGACTGCCAGGCCCCCCATTATTTTCTGCTTTCCAAATCACCAGACTGAATTGATCAGTTTTTATATGAATCCAATAAAAGAACTGTGGAGATCACCTGTCGTTGCTCTTTTCTTGTAAAAATAATTGGAAGATTTCTTGGGGAATTTTCATGTTAAGTTATGTCACAGCAAGTTGTGTAACACACCATAAACTAGAATTTGATGGACATTTTCAAAATGTGTGAAACAGCCAAAAGCCAGTAATGGATAATACATATATCATCAGTCTTTTCAGACGACTCGCACATTAGTTGCCTTATGATTATTTTTCAGAAAGCCATACATTCACTTTAATGGGGGCTCTTCCTCTAGCGGCTCTCAACATCTGGTTTAAGTTAAAGGACGGCATGCCAGTATTAGATGAGCTGTGTGACTGGGGTGAGAAATAGCCTGCAACAGGAGGGTCACTTGTCTGGGAACACATGAGAGGTGACAATAGTAATGTGAACTTAAGATGACCCTGTCTGCTGGGGTCGGAGCTGTATTACTGTAGCGTCAACACTTAAGAGCTTGTGGCGAAGGCTGATTCACTGCTACTAAATGTATAACTGTCAACTGGGGTAAAATATACTGTTCAGCTGTAGTCAGAATGAGACACTGTCTTTGGATGTGTGTGAAAAGTGGAAAAACAAGGACTTGTACATTCCAACTTTGAGTTTACCTTACTTTTCCCATTGATGTTAAGTTCCATTTACTCCGCACTCTTCTCAGGCATCGTCCAGAGCATTAGGATGTGAACTCTAGTGATATATGGCTGAGGCATTAGGTGTAAAAGGGGTCCGTTGGAGTTCTCTCCCTCTGGGGCTGTGATGAAATCAGCCCAAACTGACAAAGTGCAGACTACTGACATTGCACCCTGCCCCCACCCCCTCCCCAAATACACAGATTTTCTTTGACTAATAAAGCCACAGCTCAACCTGTTTACCCTCGTCTTTTAGTGGTGATCCACTCCTCGTTCTCCACCCATTAAAGTCCTAATCTGATCATTTCAGCCCTGCCACTAAAATATTTCCACTCAGATGAAATAGGCACTAGAGGTACACATTTATTGCCGCAGTGTGTATTTTTTCCTATCATAGCTGAGGCCTGCAGAGGCTCACCGCTCACTTCTGTCCAGTTGTCCGCAGGGAGCAAGCATCTCCGACTCTTATCAGCGGGTGTAAATCACAGAACACATTCTCAGGAGCATAACCTCATCACAGCCACTTGCAAGGTGGAGCGTAGAGCAGATAGAAACAAATGTGACCATGGCTTAACACAATGTTTGCAAAGCCCTATATCTTGGTTTCTATAGCTCAGCAAATGCTCCTTTACCCTTCTTTTCAGCTACTTTTCTCATTATGTTAAAGGAATATCTTTCTCTTGATTGTAATTTGTCTCCCTGGCTTTAAGTAACTCTTTTTCTTGATAGTCGGTCATGTGAGATGTCCCAGATGTAAAATAATGTGTGCTGTGGTTTATCTGGCTCAAGCCTCATGACCCCTTCTTATCATAGTCAGATAGAGGTAGTTCTGAAATGTTCACAGATGAAAGAAATTAGTTGATATTCCAATTGTGATGTGAAGTCCTAACTGGCTTCTTTTGCACATGCAGCTCAGGTCATCAGCAGATATGGTAAAAGTAACTTAGTACAATTTACTCCAATGCTGTACTTACTTACATTTTCTTCTAAATTATACTTTCACTCCTCTGCATTCCAGCGGGATTGTTGGGCTTTTTGACTCCATGCCGTTTATTTAACATTTACAGATATTGATTTAATCTATCTAATAGGGGCCCCTTGTCATGTTTCAGATTTCTTTGAGCTGTCACCAAAGATCAGAAGGTTTTAACTTGAATTGCTCTTCACCAAAGACCTAAAAGTATCCAACATTTCACACAATTAAAGCAACAATTAACAGCAGAACTTTTTTTGTGCTTTCTTACGTAAGTCACAACCCCTCAGATCTGTATTGTGACCTTTTTTGATGGAGTCTATAGATTGACTAAGCTAACTGTATAAAGTAGTTAAAACTAGCTTAAGCTTAGCAGTAAAGGCATTTTTTTCCAACAACAAGTACTGCTACTTTTCATAAGCATAGTACATTACATATATTGAAGCTTTGTAATTTCACAGTGTTAGCATTACTCTTAATTTGGTGCATTGGAATTTACCCAGGTGATGGATCGAAATACTTGACCACCTCTCAGAATTCACTGTTAATGAGCATAAACCTTTCTGTGTGGACTGATGAAAATCCACATGAATTTCCCAGAAACAGGACACTATTAATCATTATGACATTGATATGGCAGTATGTGGTGTAAGGTGGTTATCTCATCTGACATCACACACATTAGATACAGTCTGGAATTTCTCATTTTTTTACCCCTTTTATTCATATCAACATTCCTCTGGGAAAAATCTAAAACTCTGACGGTATCCAGAGATGTAGCCAAACACAAGAGAGGGGCCCTCACTGCCTTTCAATTAGCACTATCCAGTAGTCAGCAGATACTGTTCAATTGTATCCTATCTTTGCTTTACATAAACACTGGCCAAGAGGCCCAGAGGCTCAGAGACAGATATGTGTATGTACATGGTTGGAGAGTGTGAAACATAAACACTATAATAGAGGATGGTTTGCCAGGCATAATGGGAAACGTTACAGTATCTTGACAATGTTGCTTCATGTTTTGTTGTTTGGGGTGTCTCTAAAGTTGCTATAGTCCACAGTGAAAAAGGCCTGACTACATGCAATTTAACAGACGCCTCAACTCTGTCAAAAAGACTCTGGAGCCCATAACACAATCTTTTACCATCCAAGGCCTGTGCATATTGATTTAGTCTCCAGCTCCCGAGTTACTGACAGATCTTGACAAAGGAGGTTAAGTGCTTTTAGAAGAGTCCTCATGAAAAGATCCAATTTTGTGCATTCTGTTACAACAGAAATGTCATTTAACTAAGATTGCTATTTAAGTCCAAATAGATTTTAGTTTGGAAGATCAACTAGCGGTTACATAATAAACAAAAAGTAATTAAACCATCATGTCAGTGCCTAAAATGGAAAATAATAATTGTGTTGCCTATTGAGGCTTATTCATGGAAGCCCCTTTAAAGTTAGTATTTCAATAGGCAATATATTTAGTACAATGTTAATACAATACAAAATGTATTTATTTATGTAAAAAGCCTTGAGAAGAAAAACGCATTAATATAAAATTAATTTTGCCTTTTTGCATTTTCATTTTGGATACTTATAGCTGTAATTACTTTTCAGAGCAAATCCCTTTAAAATAAAAACCTTAAACATCCAAAGCAAGCTGCTTAAGTAGCCATAGATCACGAGTAAATGCCTAATGCCAAACAATGGGGTTTTGTCATCGGGAGGAGTGCAGTTTTGGCATCTGACTCATGCAGATGATGATGATGCGTAATCCAATAAAACTTCGGTGTGAATCTTTATACAGTCTATGGTGTGAATAGCCCTTCTGAAAATAGGCCTGTAGTATCGGTAGGCCTACTTTCACTTCGTGGTTTTAGCTGCCCTCTAGTGTCCACTTACATAACTTATCCAGGTAAACGTGATCGATTGGTTGAGCCTGCGCAGGTGGTTTAGGAGGAGCTGAGGAAGCCACATCTGTTGGAGTAAACAAAACCTTTTTTGACATACCGGAACTGTCCTGCGTTTCCCAAGGACAACCGCAGCTAAACTTGAATGTTTTTCAACCTTTACGCGATATCAACGGCTAAACTTTTCAAAAGGAGGTTTCTAAACACAGCTGTTGTTTGTCACTATAGATGTGCGTTTCCTGATTCATCTTATTATCGCAAACTCGTACATCGACCTACCGCTCCTTTAGCTGGCTTTCATTTTGTTGCTGTTGAACTCTGCCCTTCATTATGAACCACGTTTCATTATAGGTAAAGTATGACATCGTTTTTTGGTGCGGGGTTGTGAAAGAAAAGTGTATATAGAGTAGTTTAAAGAAGCTGGGTGTGTTTTTAAGTGTAGGCTCCTCTGCCCTGTGATCTGCCAATTAATGCTCCACCCGCTGTCCGTGCGCAGGTGCATGCTTGGCCATGTTGTTCCACCTGTTCATACTCCTTCAACTCCTGTCATGTGGAGATCTGGCCTGTATGAGGAGGCTACTGTCCAACAATGAAGACAAGGAAGGTGAGATATTGTACTCAGATGTAGAAGAAGTACTCAGATGTTGATCAGAAGAAATAACAAAGTGAAAAGTAAAAAGTCCTGTATTCAAAATGTTACTCAAGTAAAAGTACAAAAGTATTGGCATCAACATATTCTTAAAGTACCACAAGTAAAAGTCCTGTATTCAAAATGTTACTCAAGTAAAAGGACAAAAGTATGGGCATTGAAATATACTTACAGTACCACAAGTAAAATTACACATGTAGATTTGCCCTTTTTCAGAATAATATAGTATTGATTATGTTTATTGAAGTGTTTTATCAAGCTGCTGAAGGTGGAACATATTGTAATCACTTTACTTACTGGTGGGTAGCATGTGAATTTAATCCGGGTGTAACTAAAGTCTTATTTAAGTGTTGATCATATTGTTCATATCTGCAAAGTAACTAAACTGATAAATGTAGTGCAGTAAAATGTTTACCTCTGAATTGTGATAGAGTAGAAGTACAAAGTAGCATAACATTGAAATACTCAGTTAAAGTACAAGTACCTCAAAATTGTATTTGTGTTTGAGTAAATGAACATACTTTCCACCACTGATTGTACTGAAGAAGGACATAAGACCTTACTTTAAACACTTTGAACATCACTTCTCCTGTAACCATGTCACCTAATTGGACTGTCATCCCAGTGTTTGTAGATGAAGGAAACGCAAACTCGTTCCTAGGTCGCCATCTGCTGTTCAACCGGTTTGACTTTGAGATTTTCGTTCCTGGAGATCTGGAAAGGGAGTGTAAGGAAGAAGTCTGCAATTATGAAGAAGCAAGGGAGATCTTTGAAAACATCCCAGATACAGTTGAGTGTTGATGTTCAGTGTGCTGCTCACTAAAGTCATTTCATGAGCATAAAGAGGGTTGCATCAACAGAATCACCATACTAATGATGCTTGGTTTTGCAGGATGCATTTTGGAAGCAATACACTGAAGGTAAGAGAAAAATATACATATCCCACTTATTACTTATGTCATTTGAATTTGGTATCTACTCAATGATGAGTGTGGTTTAAGGAGACTTGTGCCTTGCGAATTACAATTATGTTACTGGTGCTTTCAAAACTTGTTTCACCACATTTTCAATAGCTGATTTGAATATGAATGCTGGTTGCTTTCATTTTCGGTCATAACATCTCGGTCATGTGTTTAAGAAATGACTGAATTGTAAATATGTCTAATAAGTGTGTATCTGTTGCTGCTCGAATTTAACACAATCTTAAACGTAAATATCAGTATAAATTGAAAAAAGGAACACCCTGTGATATTCAGCTATCTGCTTTTTATCAAGTTGTTTGACTCACTCTGTCCACTGTCTGTTACTCACTGTAGTCTTTGATAATCCACAGATAAGAACAAGCATCCTTCACGGGTGGATGTTACATCTCTTTTGGTCGGACTGATTGCTGGTGGAGTGGCTCTTGTTATCATTTGCCTCCTGGTCTGGTATTTCTGTCATGGCAAATGCAAGAACAACTTCAGCCGTGCAAAGTAAGTGTGATATTACTATTAATAGCAGCTACATTATTCCTGCACACGTTCGCCATACTTTATAACTATAGACATCAAGAGAACTCTGTTTAACCTGAATACCTTTTAAGCGCCTTTTATATATAAAGTGGATACTTTTTCAGAGTTTGGACATTTTCATATGCAGACAACTGCAGTTTTAGCTGCGACCATTAGCTCTATACCTCTCTCTGTTGGTCAGTCCGTCAAAATGTGTCCATGGTTTGGCGCCCACAGTTCTGGCCCTAGGAGGCAGACATTTGGCATTGAGAGCAAATGTTTTGAGGCTGAAAATGTATGAACCAATAAGGTCTGGACACGTACATTGTCACAGCTTTTGCACATTTATGAACGTTACACCCGCATTGATTGTCCATTTATCATACCTCTTATAGCAACATGTTTCTGCTTCATGTCACACGTAATGTACATATAACACCTGGGAACATAGCCATTTAATATCTAAGTCAGTTTTATAACAAGAATAAAGTTCCACCTTTTCTATTTGAAGATATTAAGTCGGTCACATATGAATGACATGATGTGTATGTCTATGCTCCTCTCACAGCTCCATTCGGGTGCGATCCAGGAGGAGTAATGCTTCTCTAATAATACGACGGCTTGAGGAGGTTTCTTTGCAACCAGTCCACCCACATATACCCCCACCCCCTATGGATGAAATAGACCCCCCGGGATTGCCTTCCTATGAGCAGGCAATTGCAAAAAGTGGACCACATGACGCCCCACCTCCTCCATATCCCGGGTATTTACATATACATTTGTATTTACAGTTATGTCATGACTCATTTTCAAGTTTTTCTTGTATATGAGTCATAATGCAGTTACAAAAAGGTTTTTATATAGCATATTTGTATAACATCTTCTCTTACTTTGGTTTTAGCTCACGACCTGGAAGTATTCGGCGGTAGTATCTTCAGGACAACATCTCCCAAATGTCTATCAACATTAAACACACAATTTACAAATAACTTTTATACAGTGATTCTCTGCTTGGCAGTTTAGAATGTTTATCATCAACATATTGAAAACACCTCCTTCTGTTTATTCCTCTGATTATTTTTGTTATTCATAGATTTCTAATCTTTCTGGTTTGATGGCTTAATTTTTTCTCATCAGTTAAATCCCCCTTTGTTAACATCCTTGTGCCAAAGCGTAGTTTTGAGGTAACGTCTACAAACTATATTCCCAAGTCTGATTATTGTTTGTAATATAACACCTGTCCGCTGTTTTTTATTTAAATGTAAATGAAGAATCAATAATGTATTAGACAAGAGCGATTTCAGTTGCTGGAGTACTAAGGCCCTTAAGGAGCAGTTTCTTTAGACACAGCATGCACAGAAGGCCCGAGAGCAGGATTAGAAATCTTCTTAATTACAAGATAAGTATTAATTGCAGTTAAAGAGAGACGGACTGATTTGTTTAATCCATTAGCTTCCTGTCTCCTAAAGAAGGAAGACAAATAATTACAGCAACACTGATTTCAATGGCACCATGGTATGACTTATCATTCTGCCATACAGAAAAGGCTTTTAAGGATAGTACGGTAGTAAGTAGTAATAATTGTTTTATTTTGAAAGTGATTTTGTTGTTGGTTTATTCGTTTGTATTGTGTCAGGAATTTATGTATTTGTCATCAACTAATGAGGATGTTCTTCTGATATGTGAAGTCATGTTTACTTTAAATATATATATATTGTGGTCGATTATACCATGTAAAATAAATTGGTGGGAAGAAATGTTTACAATATTTAATATTTACGCATTATACATTTCTGCAAGAAGATAATAGCTTTTATTATATGAAATATAAAACATGTCAACAGTTGGGATGTAGCCCAACAGTTTGTCCTACATCTCACTTCAATGATATTTTTGAAGGAGCAATTTGACATGCCTGGTGGATGCTGCTGCTGTTTTCTCATCAGATGATGGAGAAAAGCAAGGTTTTAGAAGATATAATGTCCTTGTTAATTGTCAAAGTTGAATCATGACCTTGTGGGAAGTTATTGAGGAGTAATTTTGTTGAAGCTTCTTTTATAGGATTTTATAAATAAAACTAATATTTTAATTATGTTTTGTCTCATCTTTCAACTGTGTTTGTGTGTCCGAAATGGCTCTTCCCCCATTCTCATTTTCAAATGAAATGAAAATATGAGCAGTTATGAGGGCTTTGTCAGTCATTTTAGATTTGAAAAAAAGTGAACTATTTAAACCATGTTCACAGCATTGGGTTTTATTCTTCAATATACAGTTGCAAGAAAAAGTATGTGAACCCTTTGGAATTACCTGGATTCCTGCATAAGTTGGTCATAAAATGGAGGAAGCCACTGCTGTCCAGAAAAAACATTGCTGCACGTTTGAAGTTTGCAAAAGAGCACCTGGATGTTCCACAGCACTACTGACAAAATATTCTGTGGACAGATGAAACCAAAGTTGAGTTGTTTGGAAGGAACACACAACGCTATGTGTGGAGAAAAAAAGGCACAGCACACCAACATCAAAACCTCATCCCAACTGTGAAGTATGGTGGAGGGAGCATCATGGTTTGGGGCTGCTTTGCTGCCTCAGGGCCTGGACAGATTGCCATCATCGACGGAAAAATGAATTCTCAAGTTTATCAAGACATTTTGCTGGAGAACTTAAGGCCATCTGTCCACCAATTGAAGCTCAACAGAAGATGGGTGATGCAACAGGACAACGGCACAGAAGTAAATCAACAACAGAATGGCTTCAACAGAAGAAAATACGCCTTCTGGAGTGGCCCAGTCAGAGTCCTGACCTCAACCCAATTGAGATGCTGTGGCATGTCCTCAAGAGAGCGATTCACACCAGACATCCCAAGAATATTGCTGAACTGAAACAGTTTTGTAAAGAGGAATGGTCCAAAATTCCTCCTGACCGTTGTGCAGGTCTGATATGCAACTATAGGAAACGTTTGGTTGAGGTTATTGCTGCCAAAGGAGGGTCAACCAGTTATTAAATCCAAGGGTTCACATACTTTTTCCACCCTGCACTGTGAATGTTTACATGGTGTGTTCAATAAAAACATAAAAACATATAATTGTTTGTGTGTTTTTAGCTTAAGCAGACTGTGTTTGTCTATTGTTGTGACTTAGATGAAGATCAGAACACATTTTATGACCAATTTATGCAGAAATCCAGGTAGTTCCAAAGGGTTCACATACTTTTTCTTGCAACTGTATATTGTATTTACGTAAAATTATTTAAACCAATATTAAGATTTTACAGCTTTGAACTCAAATGTATGTTATCTCCAGGGCCTCCAGGCCTACATTTCCAAAATGACAAACCGGTTATCAATAGCTGCTGATGAAAGAACAAACATTATTTTAAAATAAATTAAAGCTGGCATACCAAACACCAAACAGGCTCTAGTGACTTTTAAAACAGGAGGTCTCAAAAATGTACATCTTTGAAATATTGTTCAGTGTTTTTGGAAATATTTAGACACAATTTCATAACTTTATTAAAGCAGAAACAGTCTATAACACATGTTTGCCAACTGGAATGTTTGGATTGTATGACATTGTAGAAACAAAGTTTTGAAATCTCATATGATGTCAAAAACAGGCTGATAAAGTTTTGGTGGAAGAAAGGAAAACTGCAAAACTTCCAGTCAAAGTCTGCGGTGCATCCTGGGAAATCAACCAACATGGGTACGTGAAACCATGCAGGGCTTGCACTGCTCTCATGACGGGAGATGAACGAAAATTAAACGAAATCCCCCATACTCAAGGTACACTTTTATCCAGGATATAGCACGACTTCACGGCGGCTTTGCGGACTGTGCAGTGCTCAGACGGGACTCCCTATCCTGGTCGCTCGGTCGGTTGGTGGGTCGGACCCCCGGGCTGCTACGATGTGTGTCCGCTGCTCCACGAAGCTCCGCCGTGGAAGTGAATCTTTCACCGGATGATGGACAGGAACTACCCGACCTCCAGCTTTGCGGACGCGCTGGCTCCACCAGCACAGACCGTCGCTTATTGGGCCTATGACCGCAGCACCGCTAGTGTCAAGCCAAGGTAAAAGATAAAGGAGAGGGCACTTTCCCAAGGAAATATCGGTGATGGAGGGCCTAGCTTTGCAGTGGGGAGAAAAGTGCATTTGTGTTTATTGCCAACTCTGAAGGAATTTGAGACATAACCGGAATTTGCTCGGAGTTGTGGAGGCTTTGACTTGTTGTTTATTAGCCGTGTGTAACTGCCTCCCACCTTGCTAGTTTTCGCTAGCACACCACCTCTTCAGCATGGTCATTTACAGAGTTAGTGCTAACCAGAAAGGCGCATTATTTCACATATGTAAACATTCGTCCAGCTAGACAGCTTAAACATTAAAAATGTTATCGGCTTGTTTTCTTAACCCTCAGGTGATCGCCAATGCCTAAACAATATAGGTAACTAGCTACCAATGCTACTCATGTCAGTTGTGGCACTTCAAATAAGTGTTGTATGGCTACTGGTGTTGTTTCCAAAGAGCTAACAGACGACGTGTCGGAGTTTGTACATATTTATTTAATGTGCCCGTTAAATGTCCAATGCTACCGTTGAGATAATTTTAACTTGTTTTTATTTTATAAAACAAACATAGCAAATGTAAACACACAAACTGCCAACATTGTAGCTAGAACTCTAATTTAGTCCTACTGGATTATTATGCGCTACTCCACAGTGTATTAATTAACAGGGATCACACTTAACAAAACTGGGGTAGCTGATACAAAAAAGTAAGATTGTGCTCACAGACACGAATAAAAGCAGCACTTGTACATGAAAGCCTAAACTATAAAGACCAGCGCAAATAAAGTTATCCACTAAATGATGCTGCAGGCAGGATGACTAAATCTGTGTTTGATGAGTAATACTTATTACTCTTCACTCCCTATTGAAGATGATGTATTAGATGAAGCATCTGTGTGCCACTTTATAAGGTACACCAGTAAAATGCAATTCCATTCAACAGATCAATCATCCACTTTTCACAAGATAATAATGGGATGTTTTAGAGGTTGTAGTTTGGAGTGGCATGTGGTGTATTAATCTGCATTATATGGAGAGGTGTTTGAAATGCTTTGTCCACCTGATTACTTACATGAGAGGGAGGAATATTAGGAACGCATTTCAATATAATGCAGTCCAGTACAACTCTACGAAGAAAAAGAGGCAGATTACTCTCTTTCAACACTCCGTTCTTCCACAGATGTTTACCTTATGGCAAAAAGCGAACACTTCAGATCAGGATGGCTGCATCTGATTACCTCTGACTTTCCAATGAATTTTCTCCCGAGAGAATATATAGTCACTGCCTTTTCACTAACTTTTTTTCATAATTGTCTCAGATTACACACATTGTCAGAGCAATGTTTTTTATGTGCATGAACAACAGTAACTCGTGAATTCAACAATTCAGAAACCACTTTAACATCTATCCAGATTTTCACAAGAACTATGAACTTCTATAGTTGGTTATTTACCTAAATGTTTAATAAAGCATACACAGTCATATCGCAAAAACTCTCATTATTTCCACTACAGAATAAAATCACAATTTGTTTTACTTTGTTCGTCTCCGTTTTTACTAAGAACAGTGGCCATAGTACACAGTGAACAGTGGATAGTTGGATGCTTCAGTGCTGCTTGTAAAGATGCATGCTTTTATGAATGTGTTGTGTGTTGATGCAGTTCCAGTTATGGTGCAGCACACCTTGATGCAGAGCTCCTTCAGCGGCAAAGCTACACTTCAAGCCACCAGCTTCCCACCTACACTACTACACATCTTGCTGCTCCAGCAGGTGAGTTATGAATGCTATGCAACGCATTGTTTTTAAAGGTTCAGTTCACGCAAATTATAATACATTTAATCTGTCACTTATTTCTAGTGGTGTATGCTGTGGTTTGAGATATCACTTTGTTAGTGTTTATAAATATATAAAGGATCTATAAAGGACTGAAATACACAGGCCTGGTTGTGGACAGTTTTATTGTGGTATTTTATTCAGTTTAAAAACTAATTACAGCCTTAGTTTGTATTTGTTGTCAACCAATATATAGTTTCCTGTTATCACTAGGGTCAAAGGAGATGATTTTTTTTTAGCAATTGTGATATATATATATATGTAACTATTTAAGTAACTTAGTAGTTAGCACATAGGTATGTCTGTACTTTGTTGCCCCTTTCTTTGCTTATCCTTCTCTCCCTCTTTTAACAGGAGCACTTGACTCAAGCATTAATACTTCTGAGACCTCAATCATGAGCTTCCTGTCAGCCATGGAATCCAGAAGCCTTCAGGCTGGTCCTGTTAGTGCCTCACTGTTTCCCCCTTTTAGACCCCCATCATGGCCTGCTGGTGAGAACACATCCACTCATTCTGTTATTCACATGCTGCTTACATGTCACACATTTTTTAATAGGTGTTTTTTATATGCATTTAGTCTTCTTATTTTATTTGATGTATCTTAAATAACCTGACTTCGGTACAGATTGAATATGTGTCACAGATTGTGAATACATTATCACATACTTTGAGCTAAGTTTATGGTGTTTTTTGTCTATTTGTGAGAAACATATTAACTGATGATTTTGCCAGTTTATCCAATAATCTAATACCCGAAATAGATGATTGGCTCGCTACCAAATAAAGGAACTTTGCATCATATGATTTCATAAAAGATTGTTGTAAATATTTTAAACTAGGCTAAAAGGCTTTCACAGACCAAAAAAGGTTGTTGATTTGGTTGTATCTATTGTGTACAGAGATTTAATTCATTCTGCTTGGTTCATATCTCTTCACGTTGCCTGTTGTGTCCTAACTTTCTGTATCCTGTGTAATGCAGGTACCAACTCCTCCGCCACAGAGCTGTATTTGACTGGTGCACTGCCTTCTACTGCCACTTTCTCCTCTCCTGCTGCTCTGTCCTCCTATCAGCACACTGGTGCCTACCCTTCCAGGAGTTATGCTACCAACCCATCCATGGCTCTCCAGGATCCTGCCTTCAGCACTTCCACCAATGGCCTGTTTTCTCACCATGACCCTCTCC